GAGAGAGAGAGAGAGAGAGAGAGAGAGGAGAGAAAAAAAACAGAGCGGGAATGGATGGCACACGATCCGCTGGCGGAGACACGAGAACACGGGCTACCAGCTCCGGAAGAAATCGATTTATCCGCCATTCCACAGCTCGCAGGTCCGCGCTCCTTTCTGACGAAACACGTTCGATTCATGGGACAAATTGAGACGGACGAAAATACAACGATCGATCGGGACCGTCTACCGTTATGTCGGCATTGGAAATTTGATTTGACGAGATAGCTTTTAAATTTTTACGCTCGAATTGAAAATTTTTTCGTTTTTCTTTTTTTTTTTTTTTTNTTTTTTTCTTTTTGAATATTCAGATCTTCGCGCCATCTTCGCGGAAGAGGAAAGAGAAAATGAAAAAAAAAATAATAATAATTTACATTTCTCAAGATGAGAAAATAGTTAAAAAAGGTGGAATTAAATTCGAATGTTTCTCGAGCAGAAGGCTCAAGGTGAACTGTGTAAAAGCTCGCCTAGTCTTTGAGAATACGTAAATGGAACGAGTCTGCATTTTGTGCACATACCCGCTGGGACTTGCCCGCCACCCGTTGCAATGAAACAAACCTTTGAGGATGCGTGCCTTTTTCTAGAGAGAGAGAGAGAGAGAGAGAGAGGGAAAACGAGAGACAACATTTCTCAAATTCAATCCGAATAGGTTATAGAGATTCCCCCTGTACTGGGAAATTTTTTCCTGCCCCCATCGTTTCGCGACGAAATTTTTACCGAAGCTGATCGGTTAATAAAAACACGATTATTTGGGAGCGTTGATTATGCGAGAGAAAAAAAAAAGATAAAGAATCGAGGGAACGGATAAACGAAATGATTAACGAATCATCCTGTAACGCGATCATTGTCGATAAACAGCGAAATATCCTATCAACCTGTCGAAAATAATCGACGACACGGAGGAAATTGTCAACTCGTTATAATGGATGTTACATTTAATTGGAAAGAAGCATCGATCGACATATTAATCAACATTTACTCGTCGAGTACGAAACGAACGAATCGTTCAAATTTGGTACCAATTGCATGTCCTCTTGCTCCAATCAAAATCATCGAACACGTTTGTCAAATAAATGGACAATTAATACCTCGCGATAATAAATCATCGGCAGAAGGAGGGGGAGGGAGGAGGAGGAGGAGGAGGAGGAGGAGGAAGGGAAGTTAACAAGTTCGATTTTGAAGACCGTGAAACAATGTATAATAAATTCGAGTTGTTTTTTTTTTTCCCCCCCTTTTTTTTCCCCGTTATCTAACTGTTAGCTAGGTGATAAATACAATGCCACGTTTCCGCGGTTTGATAAGTTCGATCGAGATAGCGGCAAAGCAAGCGATAACGAGGAATAATGCGTTTTCATTCAACGCTCGTTCGAAAAATTTCTTACATATATATATATATATATTCTATTTTGACATCGATTTTCGATTTTTCGATCTGTGGATATAATCTCTAAATTAATCACGAGAAAGGAAGGCCTTTATCGTTCTCCTCGATCCCTCAATAGGAATTTCAAAGTCCACCAAATAATTAACCGATGAGTGTCTCTCGTTTCTCTCTCTCTCTCTCTCTCTCTCTCTCTCTCTCTCTTGCTCGCTCGCTCGCCTTCTCGTTTCAACGAAATTGCGCCCCTATCGCAAATTACACACCATCGAACGTGTCCCGAATCTAGCTCTTAATGAATCATAATTTCCCGATCCGCTGATTCCCTTCTCTCTCTTTTCTTCCCTTCTCCTCCTTTTCCCCATTTCTGACAGTGGTGCAATGGTTGAAAAAACGGAGAGCCGTAACCAGAGAGCCTCTTGGAAATGGAAAAAAAGGAAAAAAGGAAGAAAAAAAAGTCGTGAGAACGAGGCGGGAAGTGGGTGGACCGACTCGCAAACGCGATATCTTGCTAACGAGCCAGTAATGTGCGGCGAGCCGCGCCAATAATTTCAATTTATCGGTGTCGAAGGTGGCGTGGCTAGTTGGAGTGGATGCCTTTGAAAAGGGCGTGTTGCACGCTCTTCTGGGAAAAAAAAAGATATTTCTCTCTCTCTCTCTTTCTCTCTCTTCTTCTCCCTTTTTCCCTTCGATCGTCTCTCTCTTCTCTTGGAAATATTAATTCGAATTAATTCCCACCGTATATGTGTGTAACTGTTAAAAGGAATCTCTCGTAAACCGTGCACCGGTACATCGTAAATAAGTTAGTTAGTCTCGAAGCAAGATAGATCGGACGTATCGATTAGCGGCGGGGAGGGAGGTCCGCATAACCGAGATGCAAGATTTATGCTCGTCGATTAGGTTGCACGCTCGGAACAATTGAAAATACGGCGTAATGCGGGCCACGGTAATGAACACCGGGGAGGAGGGGGGGGGGGGGGTTTGCGGTGAGAATTAAGAGAAGCTCGTTCAAAAATAACACCTGTGACTATCCGTGTTCACAACCTCGCGGTTGAAGTGGCAATGCCTCTATAAAATTATCCTCGAACACTCCCATAAAATTATCCTCAGGGTGACTAGGTCTGTCTATGAATAACCCGCCGAAATTCACGTAACGTGGGCCGATTATAGACGCATCCGATAGAAACTGTGCGAATTCTTCTCTCGCTCTTCGAGGGCGTCGCCCCTGTTTCTTATTATATCGACTCTGTGCTCTCCTCCCTCAGGAGGGCACAGATTTCCATTTTTCTTTTTCTTTTTTTTTTTTTTTTTAACCGAATTTTTACACCTCTCGACATCGACCGCCTCATTAAGGAACAGTGACCTGGGAAATCGAGATTATTTCTCCTCCGGTTCTTCTCGTGGCGTAATCAGTGCGTGGGTGTATCGCGGGAGCGAATCTTCGCATCATTAGCAGGAAAATTTGCTCTCCCCTTGGGAATCTGTTGATCTTGGAAATTCGGAAAGTTTAGAGAGGTGATCGAATTCGTCGTCGTCGTCGTCGTCGTTATTCTCCTTCCGCAAATTTTCTCTCCGCGAAAGCGGAGTTCCAAGTCTTGTTCTAAAATTTACGATCGATCGGTAACAAGTAATTTCGCTAAAGATAAAGAGGAAATCGTCTTTTTTTTTTTTTTTTTCGATGCACGTGAAATTAATTTTCTCTCCCGAAGTTGCTTCGCCATTTTACAGTCACTCCTCTTTCCCATCCATCCTCGAAACTAGCACGAGGGCTGAATAAAAAAAGATTACACAGGGTATACTACAGGGATACCGGCCAAGTAGCCTTGTCATTCCAACGTCCCCGAAGATTGACCATAGCGTACACCGTAAATAGAAAACGACGAATAAAAGAAGCTCGGTCCGGTTGAACAAGGGATATATACGAAGAACCACCTATGTCTGCTTCGATAGATTCCATCCTCCTTTCGAGAAAGAGATGTTGTCGAAACGAATGAGAGGACGAAAAAAATAAAAAAAGTAAAAAGAAGAAAAAAAGGAGGGGATGACAGGCGGAAACGAGTAAGAATGGGGAAAAGAGAAGGGAACAGAATAGGGGAGGGGGGAAGCGGACAAAGTGAGAAAGAAACACGCAGCGGGGTGAAATTGTACCCATAATATGTGCATATGGTGTTCAAAGTTTAACCTTGACCTTCCTGCTTCCTCCAACTCTCGAAACACACCACACCCTGAAGATGAATCTTTCCTCGATCTTTTTTCGCTTTTTGGAAATGTTTTAACTATTAACTTTTTTTTTTTTTTTTTTTGATTTAACGACGGTTCCTTCAATTTCTTATCGGTTGCCTTCTGCTCGAAAAGAAATTCCTGTTGGAAAGTTGGAAACTCGGTTCTCCTCGGAGATTCTCGTGTTACATCTTGATTTGTATTTCATCTCGACGAGATACGTCAAGATGAAAGCCTATTTATCGCGGATCAACGTGGAATAATTATCGGATAATTGGCGCATGTTTCACGGCTCGGTTTCCTATTGGTTTTGGCGAATTTCGTCGGGGGAAAACGAGGGGGAAAAGAGTGGAAATCTAGGGTGCAAACAGAGAGCGGCGCGTACGCTAAACGCGCGTCGAGAAAAAAAGTTGGTTTAATTATTCAGCGGGGGAAAGCGAATGGAAGATGCGCCGAAAGTTAAATAATTACATTTCCAGCTGGTGGCTGAAAAGCAGAATAGGTTAATTAAAATGAGCAGGGTGCAACACGGTCATACTGCCACGCGATATTCACGATCCGTTGAAACATTATGTAAATACGGTTAACGATTGTTTGTTCTCCGTTCTTTTTTTCTTTTCCCTTTCTTCCCCTCTCTTTCCTTTTTCCTTCCTTTTTTTTCGTTTTCCAACCCCTCGTTGCTCCCTTCACACCAATCTCGCCCGGTCATAGATCTCTTTCTCTTTTTCACTTTTTTCCTTCCCCGTCTTTCGAAACCTATACGCGGAAGATTAAAAGCTTTCTCTTCCCCATTCGTGATTATTACAACGAGAACACCGAGTAGCCCGAGTTTTTACATTTATCCGCGCTGAAAATTCCGGCCTTATCTCGTCCACAATGTTTCAATGCGGCCTCCTCTTGTCCCTCCTCTTCCTCCTCTCTCGCCACTATTCTTCTCTGTCCCCTGCGACGCGAATATTCACCGCATATTCACTCTTGCAAATTTTCAATCGCATCAGTCATCGCGCCGTTTCAAATCGTTTTCCAAGTATTATCTCGGAAAGGCCTCGAAACGCAACGACAACAGACTCGTGTCGATCTGAATCGCATGCTTTCGATTCCCGTTCCCCGTACTTCCATTCCATTCTTTTAAAACAGAGTTCAAAAGAGAGTTGAATATTCTTCCGCTCCTCTCTCGATCAATTGTCTTGTCTTTTTTCGATTCTTTTTTGTCTTCCCTTCTTTTTTTCTTCTTCTTTGTCGTTCGAATTTCAAAAAAAAAGAAAAAGAAAAAAAAGAAAAAGAAAACCTCAATAAATTTTCACGCGGACAAAATCCGACACACAAGGTATTAACCAGTGTCGTTTTTCTCGTGCGTTTACAGATCTAGAAAACAGCTGGCACGAGCGAAGGTCACCGGCCATGGAATATAATTAGTCCGACACTTATGGAACGTCAGGCCAGCTATGGTTCGCAGTGGCCGCAACGAGGTAGACGAGGTAGTTGCCTAGGCACTTGGAGATCGGCCTTTGTGCGACACGTGTGCCCATGGACAACGTTATTTCCTTCTTAAATACGGATTCTTGGTCTGAATCATCTGTATGCTACACCGCCATAGAAGGAACGATCGGGAATTGGCATCAGCCATGATCGATATCGGGGAAAAAATATTTCAAGAGTAATCGGTTATTTTTCAGAAGCCAGAAAAGTTCTTCCTGATGAACTTGCCGTTATGGTATTAACGCTATCGGGGATCGATCGTTCAAGGAAGCCTTGGACGAATCTCTGGATTTTCCAAATAGGAGGCAACCGATGAGGAGACTACGTGGTAATTGCGACAGTTGTAATTACCAGTGTATTAACCGTTGCAAATGTCGAACGAGCCAACCTCGAGCCCGCAAGGTTTCCCCCGTAAATAGGGGAAGAAGATTGTCCAATTAACTGTCTCGTTTAATTGAATCTTATTTCCTTTTCACTTGGTCCAGTTTCATTGGGGCTTCTGCGCTTTATCGCGTGAGTCGAATGTAATGCACGTCGGAAGCTTGGCCGAAGAACAACCCACGACAAAAGTAATTTAAATCTCTCTCTCTTTCTCTCTCTTTCTCTCTCTCTCTGCTGGTAAATCGTGAAACGATTAATTGTAGGAGGGATCGAGTTGAACGTCGCGGGATATTTTTGGCCATACTCCCGCCCACTCCAGCCTTCGACAGCTCGCAAATTGTCGTCGTCGAGTGGCGCGTGAATATCGTGGAAACGGACTGTTCTACCGTTTAATGCTCGTTTAGACGCGCAGGGTATTCTTTCAAATTTTTTTCAGACAATTCGTTTTGCTGTCGGTGGAACGAGGAAGAGGAGCAAGGGATGAAGATGGAGGGGGGAGAAAGAGAGAGAGCTCGAGGAGAGAAAGGAGGATGGCAAAGTAGGAAGGAGCAATTCCTCGGGACGAGACGAGACGAGACGAGACGGAGGTGAAGGTATTCTTTTTAAGGCGGAACACTTTACTGCTGCTCGTTCCACGCTGGTAATGGAGAATCCCCCAGCCGCCCCAACGAATTAATTCGGGGCTAACGCCGAGACACTCCCCGATATCGAGTCACTTCGTTCCAGTGTTAGTATCTGCTTTTCCACCCTCTCGGTTAACTTTTCACTGTACTTAGCCTGTACTTGGACTCGATTTCTACTTTTTTTTTTTTTCTATCTCCCTCCCTCCTCCATGAACGATTTCTAATTTATCCGCTAATTTGTCCAAGATCCTTGAATCCGTTTCACTGGGTCAGTTAAAAAAAAAAAAGAAAAGAGGAAAAAAGTCAAACCCCTATCTCCGTCCCCCTTTTCTCTCCACCTCTTTCCGCCTCTTGCGCCTGGCGGCTGTATTTGCATCCGTATTCGGATATTTGGCTGCGATTTTTACCATCAATTGTGCGCTTAAGTAGTCGTAGCAACCCCTTTATTGCCAGGAACGCGATCTCCAAGATGAAAAGCAAACTTCTGGCGAGCTTCCATCAGAATTAAGAGAGACACTCGAGGCGGTTTTTAATTAGCTCGAAAGGACATCATCGGAAAGAGGGAAAAGTTCGGTCTAAATACGTAATTAAAACCGCGAATGGGATAGTCACAGTATCCACGCGAAACGATAGCCGGTAAATTCGAATGAAAAGCTTATTCTTTTTTATTTTTCTTTTGCCTCTTTGGCGCGATTCCTCATCCTTCTCCTTTCTCCCGAAAATCTTTTCTATTTAAAAAAAAAAAATCTTGAACTAAAATCGCAACGTATACGCGTCGCGATATGAAATTTATTTCATAGATGTAAATCTTTTAGATTCTCACGCCGAGGAAGAATCAATGGGATTCCTCTTTCCTCCACACGACGCCCAAAGCACGTGCCATTCGCCGCAGAATCCACTTCTCTCTGAAATTCTTGCCTCGTCGAGCGTCTTCTTTCCTCCAATGAAAATTCAGAAGATTCCATGGGAAAATCAAAAATCAAAATCCAAGAGATGGCTCGAGTACAGGGTGCCTTCCGAAGCATCTGTGGAAGCGCGCGCAAAAGAGATGAGCGTGATCGGGGCGCGAGGAGAAGAGAGGTTGTACAGAGCAACAGAGAAGGGGAGAAGCGAGAAAGAGAGGGAAATTCAAAGATGGCGCCACGCGTGTGCCTGACAGAGACGAGGAACGGGAGCTGAAGCGAGGCAACCGCCTTCGCTTCTTTCCCCTCTCGCGTTTGGCGAAGAGTGACCGGCCCGAAAAGTCCGAATCCGATCGTAGAATGGCTCAGTAGTGCGCGAGACACATTTCGTGACGCGTGCTCGTCGTTGGTATCGATATCTTTCGATGATTCACGAGCATTGCGACGAGAGTACGCGGCGACCAATCCCCGGTTCCGTTACATCAGCATCCGACTACGTGGGTCCTCGACGATTGGCTCTCTCTGTGCTGCGTTCGAGTTCTCTCTCTCTTGCACGCGTTACAGCCAGAATAGGAGAAAAAAAGATACTCGCAGCTTGTGTTTCCTCGCGGTGCGGCTTATTCTCGAACTAGATACATACTACGCGCATCGTGCTATTTGCCGAGGAGCGTGTGCATTTTCGTTTAACCAGATTTTCGGTGGAAACGTGGAGAAAATACGCGTAGAGAGATTTTCGACGACGAGGAGAAACGCGAGGAAGACACGAGCCAGCAGCCGAGCGACAGACAGAGTGAGAGGAAGGGAAGCTAGAGGGAGAGCAGCAGAGTACGGGGTATTTTGGACGCAGATCGATCGGTCGCTCTCCGGTTCGCGCCATGTGACCGGTCAAAGACCAGTCTGCATGGGATAGGAGGTTAGAAACTTATTCGGCATCTTCCGAGTGTATTGTCGCGTGGCGGTCTGTTTGTTCGTTGATCAACCGAGAAAATGAGATCCGTCGAGTGATGTAGTAGTGTCAGTAGCGCGTGAGCCAGTGAACGAGGTAGTCGTTTTTTTTCGTAAAGCGTTTATCGGACATTCGCGGTGGCGGGCTTCGAGGAGCGTGATCGTGAGGGAAAAGAGAACCGATTTTACCGCGAAAGAATGTCGTTGTCTCGGGTCAGATATAAAAATAAAAAGAAGCAGACTTATGTCTCAAGGCTATCGGACCACATATTGTCTCAGACCAGGGGCGTAAAATCACGCGGTTGTCTCCCTGCACGCCGTTTATTTCATTTCACCGATATTTTCGTATAATCGCGCACATTCATTATCATTATCTCGTTAGTACATGGTTTCATTATCTGACACGTATATATGTGTTACTAAATTCTTTCGAAAAGAATGTTTCATTAGCATTTATTTTTTTTCTTGGTTAAGGATAATAACGTTCTTTCTCGGTCCACTGTTTCGTTGTCGTTTACATATTCTTTACATATTCTTCTTATTAATTATCTCGTTGAAAAATTAACGACGATTTTAAAATTTCTTTTCTTTGTTTCTAATGTTTTTTCGTGATATACTTTGTTTTCGGAAATAGAAGAATTCCGCGGCATGGAACAAAGGAAAAGTCGGCAGTATGTGAATTTTTATGAGGTTCGTTCCGAAAAAGAAAGTAAGAATATAAACAATCGTATTATTGCATGCCGTGCATTTGATCATATATGATCTTCAAAAATAATTTCTTTTCAAATTTATAAATAAGTTCTTCTCTTGTTAAATTACAAATTAGAAAACACGTGGCCTGACACGTGTTTCTGGAACTTTACGAAAGAATTCTGTGACATCTTGAATCGTTGTTACTTTGTTTAGAATACACATTTTTATTTTCATCAACGCTACATTATCAATTCGATCAAATAATTCGATCGGAAAGTTTCACAATATCGATGGAAAATTATTTAATGATTTAATGTGGAGAATTGTTATATATTATTTTTTATATGTAAAAGCGATTGTACGAGATTAAAATATCAAGGCAATTTTAGAAGCTATATATACGTATATTGCGTGGATTAATAGATAACGCGTGCTTATCTAGGAAAGTAGTATTTGACTACCAGAACCTTGTAGTCAGTTTCAGATTAACCTCTTTAAAGCAGGATTTGTTAAGGAGTTTAGGAGAAAATATATAATTATTTTTTATTTTTCTAAGAAAAATAACGCATGTATGTACGTGGGTTACTACAACTATTGAACTATTGAACTTTGTAAGATAATTTTATACGGTTAGAAATATTTATTTTCGATAATGTTAATCTTTTAAAATCAATTTTAAAAAAGACATACGTAAAGTCTTTTTCAACAAATTAATATAAAACAAGATGTGATAATATTTAAACATTTATACAATATTTAGATAACGTTGTTAAAATCAAGGAGAAAATTGAAAGAAAATCTAGCGAAGTAGATAAGTAGGTCGCGTTCGCGTCTGACTACTGATTTCTGAATTTACTGCTACTACGACAAATTGATGTCAATGAGATCGATATTAATTAAGTCACGGGCCGTTGATCGCTGGAAACCCCATAAAGGATAATCTCTTTACCACCGGTATTTCCCGGAAATGCCCAAGTAACATTATTCTTCATATTTAGAAGAAAATGATATACTTTTTAATTTTTTAGCTCTTCATCGTCATATTTGGATATAATTTCACATGTTCGTGCGAGGTGAACGTTTCGTAAAATTATTTATATATTCTCGAAAACATTAGTTATTAGTTTGTTTTTTCTCACACACACACACAAAAAAAAAGAAGTCAAGCTCATTATTTGTATAAAAGTGGAATGTTTTAAAAGATAATTCGTCGAGGTTTTAAAATTGATCAAGACCACGTTTTCTAATATCTATCGAGAATTAAAAGCGTTGTTCGCAGAATGTACGATCACAATCCATGATTTCCTGCGGGCATCGAAAAGAAACTGCTCTGTCTGGACCAAGGTTAGAAGATTGCGTTTGTTGTATAATAGCCATACGAGTTTGATTCAGGGCCGTAAAAGTCGGGTATTCGCGAGGGGCGACATGATCTATTTCCGTCCACAACTTGGAAGCGGGAAACGTGGAAGCATTAAGGGTTCTAAGAATGATATGCCTCGTTGGAATCACGAGTAACGCTTGATACTCGTTTGAATCATTGCACCAAACAAACATTAGTGCCACTTCATTTTACGATCGAATTATTTATGTTACTTATATTTTATAATATATAATTCATATCGTTTTCTAGAAAAATTTATAAATATGGCAATGATTCAATTCGAGTCACTTTCTTCATTTCTTTTAATACAACAATATCGATCATATATAAAATCGATCCTCTTTTCTTTTGATTTATAATTATATCTCTTGGCATCTCCCTCGACTTATGTTTCTATATAGATGAAATAGGGGAATTCTTTTTTCTCGTGAATGATAAATTGAAATAAGAAAAGAATGTTTTCGTTTCTTCTGTCGAACCGGCTTATCGATGTAGGAAAACCGTTGGTATTTACCGAGTAACCGATAATTCAGTTACATCTCACTTGGTTCGTTGTGTTCTGGGCGTGTGAGTCACTGGTGTGACTCAAGGGACGGAAATCTTATTTGTCGAAAAAGTAACAGGCCTTTTTCAGCATGGTTTCGCTATCTTTCTTTGACCGTTGTAATATCCCACCATAAGAGAGACACATAAACTCGCTCACAAAATATGAGATCGGTCGCGAGCTAACTCGGCACATTTTATGTAATCGGAGGATAAACATAAATTTTTCCAGCGATTAGATAAAATTACGCGATAAAATGGATACTATTCAGAATGGAAAAAGATGACCAATTACTTCTTTCTATCAATACCATTTATTCATTCGAGGGGAAAAAGAAGATGATAACGAAGAAAAAGGGAAACGATGTCACAAGAAGGAAATCAATACTCGAAAGATCAGCAAAATAGTATCCTTTTTCAAAATCTACAGGAATCGTATACAGATTGGACATGATGGATATTATTGAGTAAAAGAAGATTTTAGTAGCCTCGAGTTTCGAGGCGTTTCGTGCCCAAAGCCCCTTATCATTCTCCTGTCCGGTGTAGAATTGTTAGACGACTGGACGGAGAACTGATAAGGGCCCGAGGGTCACAGAATCATCGTGAGACTTCTAACATCCGATATAGGGGGAAAAACTGTTTGATTTGATGTATGAGAAGGCTTTATAATTTTACAATTTATATGATTGTATAATTTTATATTGACATAATAAACTTGTAATATATTTATATTTATAATATTTATATGATAAAAAGGGAAAGAAGAATATATAATAATAAATACATGTTGTTACCTTTATAAAATGGCAAGACTAGATAAAATAAAGAATGTAAACGCATTGCAAGAAAATATTGGATTTATTATAATAAATAAAAAATACAAGATTCATAGATTTATACACATGGATATGGAGTATCATTCACATTACCAAACTATGAAAATAGAAAATTCTCCATATATTATTTTTCAACTATTAAAGTATAGCCAAAATTATCTGCACATTCTTCCCTTCTCCTTTTGATCTTTCTCGCACTGATTGTCATTCCTAACTTAAGCAAAATTTTAACTTCCAGAAGCAATTCAGTAATTCAATACCAACATTACAAAATTTACTTAATTTAATTTCAACGCGCAACATTTTAATATCTACATTATACACATATCGACTTATATTTCTAATTCTATGTCATTTTCTTACCAAAATAATCATTTAACGACTATCGCACAATGTTTGTCTTTTATCACATTCAGGTTTCGTTATTCTTTGATGCGCTTTGATCAATCTCGTAATTAGGATTTATTTGAATTATTTGTCTAGTGGAATTTTCTATTTTTTTTATTGGATTTTGCATGATAAAAATTGGCTTTGTTTCTTCCTTTTCTGTTAAGAGTTGACTGACACTCATAATCTTCAGAGTAGGTACAGTTTTAATTAACGTGGTATTAGGAATCGATAGATTTGTATTGCAATCTACTTTTGGAAAAATTATAGGATTTTTTGATGGTGCCAAAGATAATTTTTTCTTTGGCATAATAGGCACTTCCGTGGAAGAAAAAGTAGATCTTTTCACTGTTGAAGTCACTGGAATTGGACTGGTTATAGCATCTGAATTTACAGATATTATTTTTGGGCCGAGTATTATACCATTTCCTGTAAAAAATATATGAATGGACAATAAAATTTGAGGAATTATTTTCATATTATTCAAATTACCTTTTTGCATTGCTTTTGTAACCGGACAATCTTTATGAGCCAATAGAAGCGTTTTTAATTTAGCAACCTCCGTTCGTAAAACCTTTATTTCCATCTGGAGTGCTACGTTAGTCTCATTTACATTAGTGACCGTTCTTTCAAGTTGTTGTATCCACGCTTTCCTTTTTGCTCTTGCTCTCATGGAGCTAGCACGATTACGTTCAAGAATTTCTTTTTTTTTCAATTGATCCTCTATCGTTTTACTCCTATTTTCTCTTTTCGCATTATTTAATTCATCTTTCCGAAGATTACCATTAGGTTTTTGATTTTGCGAACCGGTAGCTTTTGTTAAAGTTTGTTTTAATTTCTATATAATTATACAAGAAACATTAATTTTTAAAATTAAAAAATTTTATTTAAATTATATACTAAATCGTACAATAAAATACCATTTTTGCTAGAGATAGTGTAGAAATAGCTGGTTTTTTGGACTGTAATCTTGTATTGCATTGCAGAAGAGGTTCTGTTTTTATAACAACTGTTTGTTGTTTCAAAGATTGTACGTTTGTCGTGTCAACAGAATCACAAAGTGGAATCGCCGATAATTGCATTAATTTTCCATCGGCTGTTTTTAGCAACAATTGAACCTCCTCACCATTAAACGACCTTTATAAGAATTTAATTTTAATTTTTTATTTTGTTTTACTTAATTTTTAATTAAAAGATAATGAACAAATAATTCTATATTTTTTGCTTACAATTGCGAATTGGATTGTTCTTGTAAAACTTTCGATATTATTGGTGTATGCGTAACTTGATCAATAATATTCTCTGTTAATGTTACGTTTCGTTCAACGCTTGATTCAAATTTTTCTTTTAACAAAGTTTGCTCTTCCGTTTCGGTAAGTTTCACAGGAGTACAAACTTCACTATCAATGGTAGTTTTTCCTTCTGTGTTTTTTTCAATTGAAATGCTGCTACATTCTGGCACAGAGTTTTCAGATAACATTTGATTGTTACTAGATAATACGTCTGCAATATGGGGAAATATATGAGGTGTGTGTAAAGTATCATCTGTAAGTCCAGCCTAAAAAGAAATACTTAGATTATAAATCAATATTAAATAGGTATTTATATATATTTTAATTATTTTATTATTTACCTCTGGTACCGTAAGAGTACCAGTATTTCCTGACTCCACTGCTCTTCTAAAAGTTTCTTCAAAAGGATTTACATTTTGTAAATCTTGAAATAATCCAACTTCTTCACAATTTCTGATGAAACGTGTTGGCGTAGGTGTTTGGTCTGCTATATATAATGTATATAAATATTTTTTAGTTCTTTATCTTTGTTTTAGAATATAATTAAATTGTTAAAATTATTTCAATTAAAATTAATCTTTACCAACAAAACCAGTATTCTTAGAACTGTTTCCAAGATTTAATATCATGTCATGTTTTTTCTTGTGAACCAATAACTGATCCTCATCTGTAAAACTCTGTCACAATATATAAAAAAACTATTTATTATTATTTGATATATATATCAAAAATTAGGATCTCATGTTAACGAATAATAAATATTAAAGGAAAAAAAAAATAAAAAAAATCTTAGTTTTAAAAAAAATAAATTCGTTTATTACCATATTGCATCCAAACGAAGAGCAAACAAACATTTTCTCAGTATCTGCCATTGTTAATTGCTAATAGAAATTTTATAATAACAATTTACAGGTGGCATGATCTAATACAAGAACAAAGTCTAAAATGTATGCAATACAATACAATTCGCCAGAAGACTTCATTTCTTTGAAAATTTTTGTATCGGCAACACATATTTTTGTTCAATATTGATTATTTTACAATTTTTAAGTCATTCAAATTCAGATATATGAAAAATAAATAATAACACATACTTTTTTGGAATCTTTTGACACACAGATTCGAATCAGCTGTTTCTACATTAAATCAGTAATCTTTTATTCATAGAGAGTCGAGTTTATACTTAGTATAAGTATTTAGTACATTTTCTATCTAGGGACATTTTTTGTAGTTTAGAGAAACAAAATAAAACCAAGTTATAAATATATTTTCTATGTATATTCATATTTTTATTCTATATAAATTATTTTATATTTTTATATCGCATACATATATATGTATATCTTATATCTTATCTCTTTATTTCTTATATTTTTTGAAAAATATTTAAACCACAGATAAGATACAAAATAGATTCAACATTTAATACATTATTTTATTTCATGTTTCAGATACATCAGAACATTATTTTAACATCATTTTAATGTATTTTCATCGATTTATAATTAGAATGAACAAACAAAGAACAGTGAAAAATGAAAGATAGAGATAAAATTGAGAATCAGTTCCATTTCTTCAAATTTAAAGACAAGATCTTTTTAAATATGAAATACAGAAAGAATAAGAATTGAAGACTAGCAATATCTTTTAAGTATTTTTAAAAGGAAATTTTGACATTCAATAGATGGCGACAACCGTCAATTCTCAGTTCTTTAGCTTTTAATGCTAAAAAATTATCTTTAAAAGGTAAATATATAAAAGGTAAGAATAAAACACGTAAGTATATTTTATTTTATAATTAGATTTGCATAAAATGTTTAAAAAATTTTTTGTTGCAGAAAAATCATCTTCAAAATGGAAGAAGTATATTAAGGCAAGCAGAAGTGAATATTTTACGTGAATTTCGAAAATTTTTATAAATAAACATTAAAAATGTAGATTAATGTAAATGTAAATGTAAATGTAAAAAATTAAAATATAAATAAAGACATCAATTTTTGTGAAATAGTTTTTATTTATTCTCCTAATCCCAAAATTCCTAAATTTACCAATTTTTTGACATTTTTTTTCATTTCCAAGAATTGCCGAAATTCTTCGACTTCTTATCAACTATATTCTCCTGTTAAAAAATCAAATTTTTGGTTCAAATCAAAACTTTTTCTTCTATGCTGAAAAATCAGTATAAAACAGGCAAGTATATTAAATTCTATAATTAGATTTAAGTAAAATGTTTAAAAAAATGTTTTTTCGCTGAAAAATCATCTTTAAAATAAGGTAAGTATATAAAGGTAAGTAAAGGTAAGTATTTTACAAATATTTGAAAATTTTCGAAAATTTTTGTAAATAAACATTGGAAAATGTAAATAAACAAACCCCGAATGTAAATAAACATTGAAAATGTAAATAAACATTGAAAATGTAAATAAACACTCCAATGTTTGAAAACAAACTAATGTTGTAATAGAAACTTTATTCTAAATTTCTACTTTTTAACAGAAGAATATAATTGAAAAAGGAGATTATACTTATTTTGTATTTATACTTACCTTATATATACTTACCTTTCGAAGCTCTATTTTTAGGAATCATTTTTTAATAATTTACTTAAATCTAAAGGACTGGAAGGAATGTAGGAATAAGGTTTTTTAAATAATAAGGTCATTCGTTTATTAAAAAATAATGTTTATTGAATATAATTTACAATTTAAGTTACATATTTTATAATTATCAATTTATTTAAGTATATATAACTTATATGAACTTATAATTATGATTGTGTAGTGTGTTCAATATGTGTTTTGAAAAATGTGTTTACTTCATTTCCAAGAACTGCCAAGATTCCTGGAAAAGTTTCTCGTGCGATCTCCTGTTAACTTTTATTCTCCTGATACGAAATCGTATTGTTGGCCAAAAATTTCAATCTTGTTCGAGACCTTGGGTAATCCCAGGAGTTTGATGTCATTTCTAAGAATCCTGAAAAATATATAAAAAATTTCATATTAATTTTCTAGAATTTTAAAAGTTTTAAGAATTTGACGTCATTTTCCAAAAAATTTAGAGATTCCGAGAATTTGACATCATTTCTTGGAAAAATTTTTCGATCGTCTTCCTATAATGTTCTCCTAATATAAAATCGAATTTTTGGACAAAAATTTTTCTTCCATTAAGGAATTTCGATATTAATCTTTTTCGTTCAATATCTCGTTTATTTTCCATGATATTAAAAAATGCTTGGAATAAAAATTGAATGGTTTTAAAAGGGCTATTTTCTGGTGTCCTCAATTTTTTTATAGATAAACTCATAAAAAACTTATCGAGTCCAACTTTATTTTTTTAAATAGCATTATATACTTTTTAATGCACTAATCTATGCATCTTGACATTCTCTATAAAAATGTATAGGACCATTTATGGTGAAAAACAATTAGTTTAAAAGATATTTAGTTAAATTTAATTATTTTCTAAACTATAAGTTTTTTGCTATATATGTCTTAATACTTTTTTATAAAGAATGCCAGGATACATCAGCTGGAGTATTAAAAAGTGTATACTTTTATTTAAAAAAACAACATTCACTTTAATAAATCCTTTACGCTTCTATATATAAAAAAATAAATAAAAACAAGATATATCCCTCTCAAAACCATTTAACTTTTATTTGAAACATTTTTTAATATTTCCAAAAATAAGCGTGATATATCAGATAATACTATACGGACATCCGGTATAATATATTACGTAATCGGCTATTAAAAACAATCGAGATATTTCAAATAATAAAAATACAGTACTCAATGGATTCTTGAATTCTTAAAAAATTAAAAAAAATGATAAGAAACGGACTAAAAATGACAGCTTTCATCTAAATTTATTTAAATTCTGAAAAAAAAGGCTTTAAAGGTGTAAAAGAAATGGCAACGTTAAGAAAAATGGTCAAAAAATGAGTACGATACATATATGATAAATGTAAAAAAACTCCTTTTAAGTTATGTCCTCCTAATACAAAATCGAATTTTTATCTAAAATTTTCGTTCTTTCGAAATTCACTTGGACAAAAATTTCCAAAAATTTGATGTCATTTTTAATAATTTCTTTACTTTTCTTATTATATAAAAATATATTTATGGCATATAACCGTAATAAAAGATCTTGTGTTGGGAAGAAATTCATTAAATAAGAAACTCATTTAAATATTACGATATTATATCTATTTATTAATATATTATATTATTTATAATATATTTAATATATAATTGGATCTATATTCTTTATTATAAAAATATAAAATTTCTGAATATTTTATGACTAATTTGATATGGCAATACTGATTTAAATTTATTCAATGATGATTTTTTTTATTATATATATCTAGTGTTTTTATTGTGAATATATTGGTAATTTTAAGAATAGTTTTTGGTCTTTATGTATATATTTATGTGTATATTTATTTTAGAATTCGTAAAGATGGAAAATATATAAAAATTTGTTAAGCAAATCAATAATATTATTTTATTAAAGTTATTAAACTTTAATATAGAAGTGTTACACTTTCAATATCAAGCCGACATTTAATATATAAAAGACGTTTGAGGTTATAAAGGTTAGAAAATAATAAAATATTTAAATATTTTCACAATAAAATATATATAATAAAATAAAATTTAATAATCATCGTAGAAATGCAAATTTATAAAAATATCACTAAACTATTGCTGTCGCGTAAGTTTTATAATGGTTATTTCTTTCTATCGTTATTTCTCTCTTTAAAAAAACTTGTGTTTTTATTAATGTTTATATTTTTGCAGCATATTCTATATTTAAATCGGCACCAGCAGTTGGAGTAAAATCATTTAAACCAGTACCTAAAATGGGTATTCCAAATTTATAATTTAATATAAAAAGAATTAAGTTTAAAAGATATATTTATTACATATTCATATTTTGCAGATGTCGAATATCCTGAACGTAAAAGGCTCAGAGTTGTGTTAAAAGTACCTCAGTATCCAGCTTCTATAAGACCTTTCAAAATGCAGAAAAAATTGAGATTAATGCGTGGTCCAGAATTATATCATAATACCCTTTTACATAAACAATATGGTATAATAGTAAGTATGGTATAATAGTAAGAGAATAAATCATGAAATAAAAAAATTATCCATACGATTGATCAAATATAAAAAGATATATTTTTAGGCGACTGGTGGTGGTAGAATGAAATTTAATCACTTTGAAATGATCCGTATGACAATTTTAAGAAATATAGATTATAATAAAGTGTTTGCAATATGGAGAGTGCCTAGCCCTTGGCAACCAATAACTATGAAGGTTCTTGTACAAATATATATATTACATTAGTTGATATAAAATAATAAGTAGATTTGCTGAAATTTATATAAAAAGAACTAAAATTTAATAAAAAATATATTGTACAGAGTCATGGATCACGAATGGGTTCTGGTAAAGGAAATATAGATCATTACGCTACTCCGGTAAAAGCGAAACAAGTTATTATAGAAGTTGGAGGAAACATTGAATATTTCGAGGTATATAATATATATATTTTAACGATTTAATTTTTCATCAATTATTTTAATATAAATATGACATTTTAAATAACTTCATTAGGTTAAAAATATCTTAAAAAATATTGCGAAAAGGCTGCCATTTGACGCTAAGGCAGTTAATCAAGAAATTATGGATAAAATGGAAGCGAAAAAGAAAAAAACAGAAGAAGAAAATCAAAACCCATGGACTTGGAAATACATAATTCAAAATAATATGCTCGGTTGCAATAACTGGATTTCGAAATACGACAGAAAATGGTTTAATGAATATATTTAATTTAAAAATGTATAAATAAATGTATGAATATTTAATTATATGAAAAATAAATAAATGTTCTTAATATATTCGTTTATAATTATTTATTATTCCTTCCTCTATCCTATTCCCATTTTATCAATGCGAAAAATCTTGTTAGATAAGTAATGCGCTATTACTTACCTCTTTTCGAACTATAAATTCGTATTTTCATTCGTTAAAAATGGAGGTGTGGAGTTGGAGTAGAATTGGAGCAACACCGATGTGTTACAATTACAATATTTTATATATCTTTGATGACGGTTTGGTGGTAACAACAGGTAAATACTACATATTGTACATTGAGTAGGCGATAGTCGTATCTTATTGTTTAATTAGCGTATCGTTTATTACGCCGATACCGATGGCGATGGCGACGTTCACCACGACGGCAACCCCAACGACGAGGCGAAATACATCGAAAACAGCGGTAACAACAATAGCAGCAACAACAACAATCTCAATAACAATAACAATAACAGCAACGATGATTATGATCGTGATAGAATAAGGATAATCATTTTTGTAATACAATAAATACAGACTTTACAATAAATACAGAAATCGATAAGTACAAACTTCCTATCGCATTTTACGGATAAATCCATGCCAGCTAGAAGAATAATAAATAGAGAGATCAGCGAGAAGATAGTGATTCGCAACAGCATCGTCGATTATTTGGAATTGTCGTCGTGGATGCGATCGTCATCGCCATCTTCGTCGTGTCTTTTTCGCCGTCGCCGTCGCCGTCATTGCCGTCGACGCCTCGTCATTCGTATTCTATTTTATCCGCATTTATCACACTTAACGTAGATACAGCGACATCATGTCTGAGGAATGTGTGTGAATGCAGAGTCAGCATTGCGACGATATTCTATTACAATATATGTATATATATATATATAATATATATATATATAATATGTATATATATATATTATATATTTATAATATAAAATATATATATATATATATTTATATATTTATAATATAATCCTCCCTGATCGATGGGAACTTATCAAAAATAAAAAAAGGAGAAAAGAGAGACCGGCAGTTTCGATTTAAACAGGGCAATCCCCTGCGATTGCTTTCGTCTCGAGGATCAGCGAATTTTGTTTTAAACAAAGCTCCTCGAGAGAGTATTATTATTATAAAATTCGGCGCTATAAATTGCAAAATGCTTTCATGCTTTCATATAATTTTATATCCACCAATTCACGATCATGATTGAAACGATCGCGAGAGGCATTCCAAAAACGATCGAACGAACGAAACGGATAAAGCTGTAGAAAGCGAACCAAGGAACGTCGTCGTATCTCTTAATTTTATTATTATTATTATTATTATTATTTTTCTTTCTTTCTTTTTTTCTTTCTTTCTTCTTCTTCTTTTTTTTTTTTTTTTTTGCGATTTTTCAACGAGAAAAATAAGGAGTTGCGCGTGTATATACAATGTTTTGGCCGTAGCCAGAGCTGGAGGAAATAGTATTCTAAGTAAAAAATAGTAACTGTAAGATCGTTTGTACGTTGATAGTGTAATGGCGAATCGGGGGCGGTTTCGCTTATTTTCTTTCTCTCTTTCTTTCTTTCTTTCTTTCTCTTTTTTAACATCGCGATAAGCGAACATTAAACAGCGTTCGTTTCGCGCGAAACAAGCTCCGCAAGCTCCTCCACTATTTTCTATCGTAAATACTATTTATTTCCGGCTCTGCGTGGGATTCCTCGTCCTACTTTTCGACTCCGCCCGACGAGGACGGGATTCCCTGGCGTATGATTAATTAAGGAGTAATTAGCGCGTCTCTCACTCACGGTACTCGATATGATTGATTCGTTTAACGTCCCGCCATCTCGGATGGGCGAGGAGTCGTCTTCTAGATGCTCCTCGAGGGAAAAGGGAAAGAATGGCCACGGGCAGAGCTGCGAATACGGCGCCACCACTTCACCCCGCCAGACGATTCGAGGATACGTGTAGTAGTCGGGCGAAAGGCAATGTAGATCGCCGATGTTTCGCGTTTATTATTAATATTTAATAATTAATGCATTAGTTACGCTATAAGACTAGATTTTTTTCGGCGGGGTATCGTTACGTTGTCTGCAGCATCCTTTAACCCTTTGCTGTATATCCTCCTCAATTGAGATCCAAAGGATTCTCAATTCGAAATTGTCGAATTGTTTGAAGATAAAGGAATGTAAATTTAAATTCGAATTTAATATCTAAAGGTGCGATTTAAATAAAAGATCAATCTCACTTATCGACTAATTTAACGCAAAGGGTTAACATGCATGCATGGCCCACACGTTGATTAAGCGCCTCGACGCTCTAGACGCCGACTCGAGCGCCTTTTCTCTTTTCTCATTCTGTTCAACGGCATTACATCACTATATCCCACGCTTGACATGCTAACACACAACTTACAGATACATACATACTTAGACACGTAGTCCTTAGATGCCTAGATATAAGATAAAGTGATCCTTTAGAGTTTCGTGGATTTCTCTACGTATCGTATCCCTGCGTCATCTGATCGATTCGATTATCTAATCGTTCGATCCTCTTTTACACATTTTACACAATTCAAAAGAGAGGAGGGGGAGGGAAGAAAAAAAGGAAAATCAATTCTATCGATCTTGAACAAAGACTTTAAATTCGGATTTCTTCTCGAAAGAAAGAAGAATTTCTTTCGGCGGATATTAAACGGATAGAAAATATTTACGTACGTTTGCTCCGACTTATGTAAATACGTACGTGATCGCAGGGAAGAAGGAGACGTACGATTGGATTCGCAAGAAGAAATCAAATCGGTGCGGAAGAACGAAGGCTATAAGGTGTGCGTGTATTTTGCATATCTCCCTAATGCATTCTCTCCTCTCTTTCTCTCTCTCTCTCTCTCTCACACACACATACTCGTCTGTCCAGTCTCTCTTTCTCTCAAGTATACAGGTGTGTGTGTATGTGTGTCTGTGTTTATGTGTATGTATACATATATATATATATATGTGTATAGACGAACATGAACGAAAACGCGTCTCTAACTAACGATGGCACAGATGCGATCGCGCTTGCATTCGCGCGAGGAAGCACGTGCACCGACTCGCGAAACGTTTAAAACGATCACTCGCGATCGATGCCACGTACGCGGACACAATTGCGGAATCCAATCGATGGGGGGCGGATGGTGTAATAATTAAAAGCGATAATTGTATCGTGTTGGGCCGCAATTCGAGTTCGTCTCTAAGGAAATTAGCGTTTCCCACTTCGCAGCTCGATTAGATATAATAATTTATAAGTCAATAGTCGCGACGAATCGCAATATAAAGATTTCTTGTTTCTTAGTTCCAACGAAACTCTCTTTTTTCCTTCGTGTTTTTTTTTTCTTTTTCTTTTTCTTTTTTTTTTTTTTCCAGATATGTTTATATATGTATATATACATACATATGTATATATACATACGTATATATATATATATACACGTGTGTGTAAAGAACATATGATAGCGGATAAAAGGTGAATTTGATACTACTTAGTGATTGGAAAAGTGATTATTGTTGGAAAAGTGTTCGTACAAAACGAAAAAGATTAAAAGTAGTAGAGGGGGGGAAACGCTTTACGAATGGATAGAAAGGTGCACGCGGCCCTTTTTTTATCGCGTTTCCGTCTTTATTCGAAGCGGTTTTTAAAGACGCGCCGATTAGTTTGCTCTACGAAGTAATATGCCATACAAATTTGCGATCTTGTAAATCTGTTGTTTACAATCCATAATTAACATGCGTTCAGATCGCGTTTTATATATATATATATATATGTATATATATATATAACATATATATGTACACAGTCTTACGAAGCAAGAAATTTACAAACATCACGACGTACGGACGATCGAATAAATATTATTACGTTATTATTTTTCTTTTTCTCCCTCCGGCGAAAATTGGAAAAGTAAATCGGCCCTGTTTCCGGCATCGGTTCGTCTCGATATCGATCTTATAACGGTCTCCACTCGACTGGTGGATAATTTACGGTCGGGAAGACTCGAGTGAGCGAGCGATTGTTTAAAAATAATACGATAAAGCGAGTGAAAACGAGAGAAGTTTTCGAGAGAAAAACAGTTTTTATCTTTTTTTTTGTTAGGAACCGACGGATAGACGGATAGACGGAGCGCGGATGAACATAAAAGCCGCGGAAATACGAATAAAAAAGGACGAGGTATATATATATATATATATATTGGTGGTTGAGGCCAGAAAGGATCGATCTCGAGACAAAAGAGCCCGGGTTTTTGTCCGGCCACTTTTTCGCGAATGCCCCGTCGCATGGCAGGAACGTGGCAGCCTTCGTTCGATTGCCGCGAGGAAAGGGCTATATCGATACATATATATCGATAGCGCACGGAGGCGGAAGCGAGGATCGGCGGTCGATCGATCGATCGATCGTCGAGGAAAGAGAAAGAAAGCTGGTCGAATCGAGCGCGCGATCTACCTATCCTACCCCTGCCACCGGTCATCACACCTTTTTTTTCTTTTTTAAAGCCTCTGCGTGTGTATACACGTGTGTGTGTGTATGTATGTGTGTATGTATGAGAACGTCGTATGTCCAACGTTGCGTATTACCTTTACGTATTATTACTCGATTACTCGCACTGAACACGCGCCTCTTATAGCTTGCGCTCTCGCGTCTCTCTCTCTCTCTCTCCCTCCCTCTCTCCCTCTCTCTCTCTCTCTCTCTTCGATATTCCTTTCCCGTGTATTCGCATGTATTCGTGTATTCGTATGTCTCTGTGTGGCTCGCGTGTCGATGCGTTTTTTGCGCGATATTCTTGATGTGCTGCTAGGAAGCTGACTAGATTATAGCCTATAGAATACGAAACGTCCGGAGCGTCGTTTCGAAAGCGCGGTGGCCCAAGCCCGGCCACCGTGGTTCTCCATTGCGAAAACGGTGCTACGCGGCGAGAGAGGAAGCGGAGAACGAGGCCGGGCCCGGATGCCTCTCCTCTCCAATCCATTCTCAACGATGGATCCGGGGTTTCGTATCGATCTTGACTACTCGGCCTTCTTCGAGGCCGAACGCCTTTACCTAGGCGTTCGACTCTTTCAAATTGTCGAAGTACTGCATGATCTGGTTGTAGTCCATGCCCAGGTTCAGGTCGTCCAGTGCAACCGATTCCTCTTGCTCGTGGGACAAGGACGCGGACGAGGAGGAGGAGGAGGAGGAGGAGGAGGACGAGGAGGAGGACGAGGAGGAGGAGGAGGCGGCGGAGGAGGACGGAGAGGAGTTAGGCGGTGACGAGGACGACGAGACCACGGTCGGGGTAGACACGTTCATCGAGGAGGCGACCGCGTTCGTCGAGAACGAGGAGAACATTGGATTACCGACGATCGTCGCCCTCTTCACCTCCCTTCCCCTCACGTCCTTCGTAACGTGCCTGTTGTCGTCGTGATTCGCAAGCTCCACGAACTCCTCTTCCTCCGCGTCCTTTTCTTTCGGGCTACCAACTCTAGCTTTACCATGCGGCTTCATATGATGAATCTGCTTGCTGTGCCGTTGATTGTTGTTCCCGTGTTGCTGGTTCACGCCCGCGCTCCCGCTCGATGCCCTGTGCCGGTGTTTCCTCGGCGTTTCCGGTACCCGCACGATCACGCCTGTGTTCCTGTGCGGCGGCACGGGCGGCTTGTAATCCTCGTTCCCGTTGTTGTTGGCCGTCGTCGCGCCGACAGGGCCACCTTGCACCGCCGCCGCCGCCGCCGCCGCCGCCGCCGTCGTCGTCGTCGTCGTTGGACCCATTGCTGCGGCGGTCACGGGTATCCCGTGTGGCGGTAGGGGTGGCGGTATATCGTCGTTGCTACGATTATTTATACACCGTTCATTTCAAACGTTCTAGTTTTCTATTTCGTTAAAAGATAAACGAATAAACAGATGGATGGATAAAAAGTAATTTGAGATAATTACTCATTCCGCGCGGAAGTGACGGTGGACGTGAGCATGGATGGTGGAGTAGGGATCGTGGTAGCGGACACAACCGTGGACGGCTTCGACATTTGTTTCGCAACGAAACTGTTTCGCGGCATCTTGTCTCTCTTGCAGTAAGTGGTCGTATCGATCGGCCCATTCGATCCGTTGCTACGCTGCCCAGCCGACGGTAGCTCGATATGGTTCGGATTGTCGAAGCAAGTGGCCAGTTCACCTCCTTCTCCCTCGTTTTCACCAGCCAGAGGATTGCTGGTCACTCTTACCTGGAACAACGGAACGACTGGTGGAACGGAATGGGATTCTCTCCTCTCTTGACGATCCACCAATGTGAATTCACTCGCCAAGGAAAGGGAGATGTATCCGTGATGGATCATTCGTATAAATATAATACCTGTTGCGGCCCGCAGGCGGCCCTCTCGAGGGTGGCTCTCCCCAGCCATACCCAATCGTGCGCGTTCGTTGTAGACTCTCTGGGAGGTCTTCTCCCGGACGCCAACTGGTTGGCCGCAGCTCTTGCCCTCGCTGCTCCGGATAGAACGGGAAGCGCGGAGCCGGCTAACGGGGAATCCGGCGGTTGGGGCTTGAACTTGCTCGCGTAGACCACGCAGGAAACGACGAAGACGACGATGGCGAAACAGAAGGCCGCGAGAAGGACGTACATCCCGATCTCGAGCGGACTCATACGCGCCCCTCCGTGGTGCCGTATCCCGACGCCGCCCATACCTCCTGAAGACATGCCATTAGCTATAGCGGTGCGGTGCTGCCGTGCCTGCACCAAAGGTTCGTGCTCGTGCTTGTGCTCGTGCTCGTGCCCGTTCTCGTCTTTCAGCGGTAGCCCTTTGCACAAAAAACAAAGAGACAGAAAGAGAGAGGAGAAGAGTGAGAAACGGTACTGGTAGAGTAGAGAACGCGGCAGCTACTGTGGCAAGCCGCGTATACACCAGCTGCCTGTCTGCGGAAAAGCGACACACCACCAGCCTCATGCACGGCAATGGACCTTGTGCGCGCTGACAGGTCTACGCTACGTCAAACGCGTCTTTCGCCTGTCAGTTCGCTGCCAAGGGTCGAGAGGAAAGGGGTCGAATAGAGCGACGAGAAAAATGACGAGAAGCACGACGAAAGTGATACGAAAAGGGAAAACGGAAGAAAGGCGGAGGATGGTGAAAGAAAGCGGTGAGAAAAAGAAAAGAAAACGATTTTTATCGCGATCGAGGCGATTCGTAATCGATAAACGAGGATATATATATATATATATGAGTTAATCAAGTTGAAGCGCTACTAAAACGTTCGAGAACGAAAGAAGTATACGCGATGTACACAGGCATATAGACCACGTAGGATGGAACAGGATCTATTTACCGATTAAGATGTCGTGCAAATCGGGCGCCATCTCTCCCCTGCTTGTCTTCCTCTCCCTGTGATGATGGGAGCCGACCGTTCCACCTCCGTCGTTCTGCACGAATTCGGGTCGGTTGGGAAGATCGCTCGAGGCAAAGTCCACCTCGACGTTGGCGGAAGCGGTGGCAAGGGTGGCGGCGGTCGCCCTTTGAGACCCTTTCCCAGACCTCCTGCCGGTCAGACGGCAGGCATCCGCCAGTTGAAGACTGACTCGTAACAAATCGCCCCGTCCCTCGCCCACTGCGATCACTCGCGGATGATGGGAGGCCACCATCGGGGCGAACGCCACCACTTCCGGATCTAAACTCTCCACCAACAAATGATAGTCGTTGACGGCGATCTCTCTCAGCGGTGTTCTCGTACCGTCCGAGAATTCCACGTCTATATCCAACAGACCCTCCTACGTTTCATAGATCGTACGATTGAGAAATTTCAGGTTCGTCGAGTTCCATTTATTTTTAATAAGAAAGAAACGCCGCGTTGTGTGTGTGTGTGTGTGTGTGTGCGTGTATATATATATATATATATATATATATATATACCTGATATTGAGCGGTCAACTTTCTCGTGACCGACGTTTCCGCCACGTATCCATTCTCTATAGCGGTATCGGGGCTGATGGTCAGTTGTAAGCCGGATACCACCCTGACGGACAACCTGGTGATCGCCACTCGATCGTTGCCCACTCGTACCTCCTTCGCGCCGATCACTTTGCTCGTGATCGGGGAAAGAACCTGCACTTCCGTTCTCCCCACCCCACGACCCTGGACGATCCTTCCTTGCAACAGATCGGCGATCCTTGGATCCGAAACGCGGAGCATCCCGTTCACCAGATCCGTCACTCGTAGCCAAGTTCGACGATTCACGAAATAGGAGACCCTGCCGGAATCGTGGTCGGTGGCCAGGAATCTCGCGTGCACCTCGACCGGGCTCTGCTGGAAACGGAGCCTACAATTGGTCGACGGCCCCCTATCGATGGAGTTAATAGCGTCCCAGTTATCGTTCCCGCGAAATCTCTCTTCCTGCTCGTCCTCCTCCAGGATCACGTCCGCGTCCTCGATATCCATCGAGGTGTCCTCCAATTCCGCGGCACTCCTCTTTCTCGTCCTCGGCTCGCTCGATCGCGAGAGCGTAGAGTTCAAACTGCGCTTGCTTTTCGTCCCCGCTACGTGCTCCTCGGCCACTTTCCACCCTTTGATCTGGCTCAATCTCGTATCTCCCACGGTCATCTCCAAAGGAAATTCCGGCATCCAAACTGTGAATTTAGCCAGGCCCGTGTACGTGCCGTATTTGACGAGGACCGAAGCGTTGCTCGAACCTCGTATCTCCGTCCCGTCCACGTACACGCTGCTACAAGAGGACGATACCTGTGAAAAAGGATATCGTATAACCTCTTTCCCCTCTCGAAAACGACCAACCCACGTACCTTGAGCACACTCTCGTCCTCCGAGTGGCAGGAGGATTGCAGGGTGACGTCGGCCACGGTTCCCGCTTGGCTCACGATAAACACCTTCATCCCCTGCGATACTTGCCGACCGGTCAACACCGCCGTGTTCATCACCTCCCAGTTCTAGAGGCGAGAACGAACTCGTATTAGAGCGCCGATCGCTGCTCCTCGCCCCTCCCTTACGCGACGTTTCAGGAAAGGGCCGATCCGAGGGGACGGGCGAGGATTCGTTTCAGCCGAAGCTTTTGTTTGCCCCCGAGCGGGCGACAGCGTCGGAAAAGTTTGGTATTTCGTCGAGCGATGGCCTCGAGTGAAATGGAAAAGGGCTTTTAAAGGGCCTCGCTCGGCCTAGGCGAATCTATTCCGTTTCATGCCTGTCTATACGCGCCATTCGCCATACACGTGGATCGGGTATGAAAGTTATTCTGCGCGCGGCCTGTACATCATACCCTCGACTGGCGTGTGTATGTACTTTAGAACGGCGGGCGGGCGGGCATCGTGGGTGGAAAAGGGAGCGACAGGACGGGAGGGGACGAGAAGCCATTTCCAAGTTGGCTTCCGTACAGCCCGCCCTTTGGAAGGAACATCAAACGACTCGGATATTGCAGCGAGGGAATTTAAATCTCTGACCCCGAGCGGCTCTCTATCCGCGTCCACGTACACGTACCGCTTGTCTCCCGTTTTCTACGTGTGTGCCCGTATACATATATATCCCTCTATCTATCTCTCTTTCGATCTCACCGATGAGCTCGATCTTAGGGAAAAAAATATTCCGAATCCGGTGTCTCCATCGGATATTTTTTTTCCTCCCCTCTTCTGATAAAATATTCCCTCCACGGCCGCTCGATATTCTCTCGATTCGCGAATCGGATCGAAACGGATGTCCCCGCGTGCATCCTTCTTTCCCTTTCCTCGACCGTCGGATGGAAAATTCCGTTTCCTCCAAAGGGGGTTTATTATCGTTATTTTCCTGGTCGGTGGAGCTTCCTGGTCGCTCGAGACAGGGGATATCAATTAAATTAATATTTAGCGATCCCCGGTGGGAAAAGAAAAGTGGAACGGATTGGATCGAATTTCCGGCGTTGTTGCCGCTTTTGGCCGAGTCCCATTCAGTCGACGCGAGAGAAGGCTGGTTTTAGAAATTCGTGACCAAACGTGCAAACAGGGGAAGGGGGAGGGGTGGCGGTGTTTTAAAACAAACATCGAAAGCGAGACGCGGCTGATCGCCCATGGAAAATCAAAGTTCCACCCTTTGGAAAGTTTTCGGTATTAAGTCGAGTGTACAGTCGCTCGACTTTATCGGCAATCTCTGATCTACTTAACCCCTTGCTTCTCCGTGTACGAGATTTAGCTATGCATTATCGAGGGCCTCTCCTCAAAGGGCTCGAACCTCCCTCTCTCTTCGTTTCTTCGATCCCTCTTGGCCCAGATATTTGAACGGGGGTTAAATCCTCGGCCATCGTCGAAATATTTTCCTCCCTTTCCGTTGATTAAACGGGGGATCTTGTCGGCTTGCTACGCGCGAAAATCCACCTACTGGTGGGACGGAGTTAAGCTACCGGACCAGCAGCTTTTACCTCGAGGAGGATGGATCTCGAGGAGTACGAGAGGCGGCGAGGGTGTCTCTTTTAATTAAAAACTCGGGCAATTAGAGTACGGATAATCAAGAAACGGCGCGCTCCCGAGAAACGCGGCTTGGCCCGCCTCGACGACCCTTTCCAACGAATACGCGAGGAGAGTTAATGAACTGATTAATCAATTAGCTCGCGCACTGGATCTTTCTGTTGATTGTCGCGTGTACACAACCTTGCCTGCCCCTTCGTGCTTGCCGATATTTCGTTTTTTAAGTCGCGGGGCGGATCGATGGAACGACTCGAGAAACTCGGGAGCGAAATCAATTAGCTCGGCGATCTCCAAGCTTTCGAAATCCTCCCCGCTCAAGGAATCGAATAAATTTTCACCAACCACGTATCGCGTAGCCTGGCCAATGATAAAAACACGAGAGAAGCGCGCCTTATCTCCGGAGAGGAAGAACGACGCCGAAACGTAACCCTTCGCTAGCTTTGATTCGATTGGCCTTTTCTTTGACGCCAGACGGAAAATCTATTTCGTTATTACTCTCATCAACGGCGGCAAAGAATATTTAAGTCACTTTGAAAGATCGCTTTTCAAACACGCGAAGTTATCGAAGAGGGAGAGGGGAGGGAAAAAGTAAAAGTTTCTCGTCCCTGGTTTTTCGCATAAATACGCGCGCCATCCTTGGTCGTCCGTTGCAATTTTCTTCCCTTCCTTGTCCCCTCATGCCCCCAATTCCAAGTCTTGGAACGTTCGGTTCGGCAGAAAGGATCGGTCGTGAGACGACCATATATACCATATATATATGTGTGTGTGTGTATATATATATATATATATATATAGCTTTTCGTATCGATCCTCGGCACTTTTGCCAGCGGTTATCGGCCAACTTAGTGGATTCTTTTTCAAGAGATTTTCGAGGAGAGCGAGGAACGCGTGAGGGGTGGATTGGCTGGCTTGAAAATCGGTTTTGTCGTCGAGTGGTAGCGATATTGGTCCCCTTTCAACGGACTGATTCTTTTATTTTTGAATCGGCGAAAATTCCATCGCGGATCCCATCGTCGAATTTCCAATGCGTGTTCGAGGCATAAGCGGGTGAATGAAAATGGCCGGGTAACCCGACACTGTCTTCCAAAAAATCATAGTGGAATCGTGAACTCACCGAGCTCTTTTTTATTACGCCACTGTTCCTCGATCGCGCGTATCGAACAACGAAAACAGAACGTTTTTCGTTTGTTAATAGTATAGTACATATATATATACGTATATACAACTCTCTGATAATCATTTCGTTTCTTCGTACTTTTTAAAAAGCTTCGACTAAATGAGCAACTGTGTAATTTAAGATTTTACAGTTTCGAAGATAAAAAGTTTTCTTTATCTCGTCGAGTCTTAACCAAGAAGTATATACACACATATATATATATATCGAAGTACGCGTATATCTCTACGTTAGAAGAAGAAAGACAAACTATTAACTTTGGACAAGAAGCTCACCTTAGATATAGGAAGGACAGCCTGTATGTCGTCCTTCTGTATCTCGAGACGAACCTGGAGCTTCCGCCTCTCGGCGTGATGATGATGATGATGCTGCTGCATCTGTCTCTGCTGCAGCCTCTGCTGCAGCTGATCCATCCCGTTCAACTGGGACCCGTTGTCGAAAGCGTAACGCACGCTCCACACGATCCGACCACCGTCCCAATTCCCCTCCATCCCCTCCTCGCTCGCCTCCAGAAGCATCGTCAGGATCTCCTCCGCCGATCTGGAAATGACAAAGACGACGCGTTCTTACCTTAGATGGGTCTCCCCGATTTCGGGGGAATAATTATAGCCTGTGTGTGCAAGATTCATTGGCCCGAATGTTCCAATTCCCCTCGTAATCGATAACGTTCGAACACGCGCGCGATACCGATGGATGAATTATTTCCATCTCTTCGAGGATCAGTTTTCACTGACGAGAGATTTTCTGAGAATCGATATATATATATATATATTTCAGAATTTCGGTCGCTCGAAATTACGATCGAGTGGAGCGAAACGTCAAAGTTCATCAAGGTTGTAACAGTTGGCTTCAATGGTGGGAAGGAGGAGCAAACGAGAGAACGAGAAGAGAAGTTGGAGAACGTTAAAGCATCATCGTATCCGGTATTTATCAAGGGTGGAAGAGAAGGTAACGAGAATTTCGTTGAACAATCAACGAGACTCGCGTCAAGGGTATTTCCAGTTACAAGTCGTTGGTGTTACGTAACACGTCGCAACGTGGTCGCGTTACAAAGTGTTTCCATCCATCGATCCCGAGTCGAACTTAGCGGCCCCGTTTAAATCGAGGAAGAAATCGACCGGTTATTAGGTAGACGACGAGGTTTTCTTTACGATTCGGTACAACCCTCTTCCCCACCAATTTTCCCAATTTGAAAATTTCCAGAGAATTTCGCTGCTCGAGTCGCAAGAATCGTTTTAACACGAGTTTAAACACGAAAGTTTCGACATCTCGAAGAAAAAAAAAGAAAAAAAGAAAAATGAAAAAAGAAAGACGAGATATGTCGATTTGAGATAGATTAAGAAAAGCGATTGAAAAATTAGAATTGAGCAGACAATGAGTTAGTGGAATAGAAATTGTAACGTGATCCAAGAGGAGTAAATGGGGGGAAAGGAATAAAATTAGCGAAAGAGGCGGGGCACGAAGGAAAGCGGGGTCGATCGATCCGAGAAAACGATAGTGAGATCTTTAAAAATGAGTGTCTTATTGAGAACAAAGGTCACGAGTATTGCGTAGTGTTTCAGCATCCTCGCGATCGATGATCCAAAACCGTGGCTAATAAACTATTTACTAATTTCATAAAGTAAAAACCATGCGGAGGGAAGGGAAAATCAAAACGGATCGTTGCAGAGGCGATAACGCCGTCTAGAATGCGCAGCGATTCTCACTCGCTCGTAAATTCGCGCCTCGATTTCCGACACCGACGATAAAATCTCTTTCTCCAATTCTCTCTCCCTTCCTCAAAACTCCACTCCTTTCCACGGTTTACGGTGTCGTTTGCATATTTCCGGACCCTATTACCTTCCACAGAGATAACCTTTTCAATCTGGAATCCCCCATTTTTTCACGCGTCCGAAAAATTGTTTCTTGAATTTCGCAAAGAGGATCGCTCCCAGCGCCACTTACTACCGAAAAGCTTCGAGAAATACTCGTGGCAACGAGATTACGCGCGCCGCAAGGAATATAATATGTGGCTATACGCGACGATAATCCGATGATCTTGGATCCCCGGCTCCATTGAGCGCCACTGATCTTTCGATGCACCAAGTCCTCCTCTCGATCGCGAGTTTATCGGTCAGTCCGGCGGCACTTACGTATAAGACGCTATAAAAGACCGAGGCCGAATAGACGTGCCGACGAGTTTGATATCGCGGACGGAGCTGGTGAATTATTTTCGCGAGATGCGAGGTCCCATCGAATTAATCGTAGTGCTGTCCGTCGTGCTCGTCTCGACGATCATCATCGAAGCGCATCCCTTGGCCGATCTGATCGAGCAACAGAATGTGGAGGAAGCGCAAGGGAGGACAGCCGTGGGGAAGCAGGCTGACTCGTCCTCCAGCCAAGAAGATAGCAGCAGCGAGGAAAAAAGGGCGAAGGATAAGGCTAAGAGGGAGACTGGCGACGTCGTACAGATTTTAACGGAGGAAGGAGAAGAAGGAACCTTGCCCGCTAGGTTGGAGCGATCGGCCAAGAAGAAATGCAACAAGGACGACGACGACGACGACGACAGCAGCAGCAGCAGTAGCAGCAGTAGCAGCAGCAGTAGCAGCAGTTCCAGCGATGACGACGACGATAAGAAGAGGTCGAAGAAGAAGAAGAAGAAGAACGACAACGACGACGACGACGACGACGACGATAGCGACGATAGCGACGACGATGATTGCAAGAGGCGCAAAAAGTCGAGGAGGAAGGGCGGTTGCAACCGAGACAGCGATGACGATGACAGCGATGACAATGATTGCAAGAGACGCAAGAAGTCGAGGAAGAAGGGCGGTTGCAACCGAGACAGCGATGACGATGACAGCGATGACAATGATTGCGGGAGACGCAAGAAGAAGAAGAGGGGCGACTGCAATGGCAACGATGACGACGATGACAACGATAACAACGATGGCAACCATAGCAACGATGGCAACCATAGCAACGATGGCAACCATAGCAACGATAAAAACGATAACAACGATAACAATGGGAGCGACGATGATTGCAAAAATAGAATATGCACAAGAAAGTACAAGAGAGATGTTGATGGACAGGACAATGATTCAGCGAGCAAATCCTCTTCCGAAGAGAAGAATAACCCCGATAAAAAAAGACAAAAGAAATCAAATAATAGTGATCTCTTTAACTTCGTAGAAAGCGATTTTCATACTTTATTTAGGACACGAGAAAATTGAAGAGGGTTGGAAGAAACGGAAAAGAAGAAACACGCGAAAACGCGGACGAACGTCGTAATTTACGAGGGGAAAAATGCAGCGAGTGCCGCAATATGTATTCTGTTTATTACGAATTGCTCGTTCGTAGATAACGCAAATTTAAAAAAAAAAAAAAAAAAATAAATAAAATAGAATAAAATATGTTGCATCACTTATTTCATCATAGATAATGTGTATCGCATCATTCTTTTTCTGTATATTCTATCAATATATATGTATATATTTATGACTTATGACTGACGTTTTTCTTCTTTAAAAATTGCTATGATAAATAAAGTGTGCCTTTAGATTAATCTTTATTTCCCGTTTCTCCTCTCCTAAGTTTTATTATATACGTGGAATTTCGTGAAATCGAGAAAGATCTCGATCACAAAAATCGTAAAAAAATCGTAAACGCACTTACGCGCTTGGTAATCGGGAGGCATTCTCCTTTCGCCTAGCGGTGAACGTAGCGATCGTGTTCTTCGCGTTGATCTTGCTGTCGACGATCCAGTCCGGGTTGCTGGACGATGCGTCCAAGATTTTCACGCCGGATTTCACTCTGGCCCTGTAAAAATTAACAAAAAAAAAAAAAAAAGGTCTTCGTCAATCGCGATATCTAGCGCGGATAATAAATCCTTTTTTTGTCACTTTCTTGCCCTCCCCCTCCCCCACACGCTCGCGAATCGAGCGTGATATATCATTCGGAAAGCGAATTCGATGCGAAGAAACGGTCGCCGTCGAGGCGAATCGCGAGGCGAGGCGAGCGGCAAGAAAAACGAGGCGAAGTAAAAAATCGGGAGGAAGAAACGATGGAAGGGGGGAAAAAATGTGACGGAAGACGGCGATGGAAAAGGGAAACGGTCGAACGCGGAAAAGACGGAGACGGAGAGGTTCAAGGGTGAAATAATAACCCGCTACTTTTTCCAATAACCGTGAGCATAATCGAATCGATGCACAACGCGGCAATTATCGGCTCAACTTGTTGGAATAATACGGACACACCTCGTCAATTTTTCCAACCTCCCCTCGCTTCTTTCAATTATCCTATTCGACTACGTCGACTGCGAGCATATCGGATTTTCGTCCGACCTCCTCCTCAGTTCTCACGCCCCCGTTCCAATAATATTCCCGCGCGAATTCGAAACCGCGGAATTAAACGCAAAGAAATGACGCGATTTCGAAGAATGTGAAGGGGAAGGAAAGCAGCCACCCGGTCGGTGAAACAGGATAAAGGATAGACTTACGTAAGAATTTTCAATTTTGCATCGGGTTACACGCCACGTTTCTCCGTCGTGGCGTGTATCTGTAATCTCCATCGTGACATTTCGCGAAAAAAAAAAAAAAGAAGAAGAAGAAAAGAAACATCCTATCCGCGGTATGCACGTAAATGGAAATACAACTCGAACACCTCCTTCCCCCTCGCTCGCTCGTCTTATCCTCTCGATTACAAAGTACCGAGATTGGAAATTGAATTTCCTCGAGCTCGATGAAATATGGCCGGTGAAGCTGGCTATTCGCGTTTAGACAAATCGTTCGCTTCGGACGAGGGACGGCCTACGTATTTTTTTTGTTTTTTTTCCCCCCCTCCCGAGGCATTGGCGCGCATACGCGGCCGTCGATCGTCCACCACTCGACGTGCCTCTCTGTCTCTCTGTTTCTCTCTCTCTCGATTCCGAGCAACACCCCTCCGCTAGAAAATCCGACCTGCTGTTCTTGTTTGCGTATTTGAAAAATATTTTTCGCTCGTTCGATTCGATTACGGGTCGAGGGTCATCCCGCGCGTCGCGCACGCGATAACAAAGATACATCGAATACGTGACGCTGGCGGACATCGATACGAAACGGTGAAAAAATCCGGTGAAAGAATGAAAGGGAGTTGGTAGTAAAAAATTAAAGTCAAAAAGGAATTCGAATTGCGAGAACGGGAGCGAGGAACGGATCGATCGAACGGATGACGCTTCTCTCTCTCTCGCCTTGGTGGCTATATTCCACGAAATATAACCATCACCGTGGCGTGGTTATCGGCCGTATCGGCGATATCACGACGCGAAAGAAACTCTCCGCGCGTATGAAAGCGCGAGGAATCGTCGCAAGATTGTGATTTAAAAAACGGAGAAGATCGAGGAGAGGGGCGCGATATCGAGACGATTAATAACGAGATATGAAATCTCTTGGTTGGGAACGAGAGTAATTAAAACGGCCCTGAAAACGGCGGATTAATGTCGACAGTCGAGCCGGTCCGCTAATGCGTTTTAATCAGAGGCGTGATGTGTTACACGCGCGCGTTGCCTTCTGAATCTTCTTCGTTGAAAAGATAATAATAATAAAAAATAAATAACTAAAAATATTAATCCTCGTCGTAATTAAAAATCGAATTCTTCGTCGCGATTATCGATCAAATATTTCTATATCATCCAACTGTATGGATGATGGGCGGAAAGGAGAGAGAAAATAAAAAAACTTCTTTTGATCTCGTTCGAAAAAATTCGCTGCCAAATACGAACAGAATTAAACGAGGAAACGACGGTGGAACGATCGAACGAAACTAAATGTCGCGCGCGATACCAAAAAAAAAGAAAGAAAAGAAAAGAAAAGAAAAAAAAGCTCGACGACGTTGGCTTCGTCACTCGAAAGGACATTTGCCTGGCGTCGCGACGCCGGCTCGCCTACGCTCTCTTCGAGTCTTTGCTCCCGAGAATTCACGCTCCAGTTACGTGACCGGGTCACGGGGTCGGAGTTACGGGGAAGTTACGATGCGCGAGGATGGCTGCCGTCTATCCGACGCCACGCTAGATAAATATCTACGCTGCGCTCCTCTCCCCTCCACCCTCCGCCTCGCGCCTCGCGCCCCAATCGGGTATCGGCTCGTATCTTTCGCGGTTCGTTTACGGGAACCATGCCCTCGAGTTTGTTGCTACGAGCGCGTTCGAGGCGCATTCGCGTTTTTTTTTTTTTTTTTTTTTACGAGATCCTCGCGGGGAATTTTCGACGAGGAGGCGAGGAGAGGGGAGGAGAATTTTACGCGATCCTCGTTTCCCCCCCTTTTCCGACGGTGAAAACGCGCAGTTACAATTTTCAATGCTCGTGTGTCTCTGCGTGTCGTTATTTCTCCGCTTTCGGGTCAGGTAATATCCTCGTTTTCCTTTCCCTCCCCCCCCTTTCCTCGTCGCGCGCGAACAGAACGTAGTAGAGTAGTAATAGTAATTGGAACTGGAATTTTCCTCCCTTCACGCGCGTCCTTTCTCTCCGCTTTTTTCCTTTTTCAGAATATAACTCTATATACGCGATTATTGGAAAAACAGAAGTCATCGGAGTAGACGCGAGATCGATACGCGTCGGCCGAATTATATGGTGAAAAGAAATAATAGGGGAAATAGGTATGCGCGAACGAATGCGGGGGAAAACGGATCGTTAATTCGACGAAACGAGAGAATTCGATGAATTCGATTTACCGGACCGAGTAAGTCTTCCGTTTCCAGCCCCGCGGACCTGCGCTCGGGGGATCGATAGGGTTTGGTCAAGGGGAACGGGAACACCGACCTAGAGAGAGAGAGAGCTCGTCTTTTTCCAAATCGAATTACACCTGTTCGAGGCCGATTATTCGAAGCGAAACGAACGAACCCCCTCGAGCGAGCCGAGCTAATTAACTTAACCTCGCGTTTGCCCCGAATTAGGGTTGCGTTCGCTCGCGATATTCGCTCGTGAAAGATGGCTGCTGGCCATCCATTCTCCCGAAGGGGAGGCTAGCCATCCGTTTAACCGGGGTGGGGCGCGGGAATTGGCCGGTCGTTCGAAAAGAACCGGCGATGCAAAAGGGTGTGCATCCCTTCGCGTCCTCCCTTCGTAACCTCTCCCTCCCTTCCCCCGCGCCAAGAACACGAAACGGCGACAAAACGAAACGTCGCATCGACGTGCAATTACAACGTTGGACTCGAGTTATTTCCGCGGGGCGATCGGCCCTTGCATTTACATACAAATCGGCGACGTGCAAAGCGGCTGTTATCGGGCCGATCTGAAGAGAGAGAGAGAGAGAGAGAGAGAGAGAGAGAGAGAGAGAAAGAGGAGAGCTGGGCGAATCGCATTGATGAACGGCCGGCGTCGGGCTGCGGCCACAATTTATTCAATGACTGCTACGACTCGATGCGATCGATCCCCAAACGAAACGGACGCGTCCCGCTCGATTGCGTAACGCCGATCCGCCGCGAGGAACGTTCGCTCGATTAAGCTTCGCAACGTGTCACCGATAATTCGACCGATAATTCGACGAATCGAAACCGAGAAAGAGAGAGAGAGAGAGATGTTTCGAAGAGATCCGCGAATATCGAGAACTGCGGTAAATGTCTGGCCGGGAGCGGTCGGATTATACGAAATTCCTGACTGACGTGGAACCCGATAATACCTCCCTCCCTCTCCGTTCTAAAAATAAAACGTCGATTCTTGGAGGAAGTCGGGGCCGCGATACGCGAAATAAATCAACGTTTTCTTTTTCCTTCTCTTTTTTAGATAAGAGGGAAAACCGAAAGAAAGAGGCGGGCGAGAGAAGATTAGTTTTATCTGGCAAGGTCGAAGCGCGAACGCGCTCCAACGAAATTTGAACTCCCTCGAATTTCTAGGCGAGAGGATCGCGACACCTTTAACAGATTTCTCGTTAGGGGATAAGGTTTAATTCGTTCCCTCCCCAGGAAACTGATATTTCCTCGCGAATCTATTCTCTCGATACGATCTTCCCATTCCGGCGTGGATATCGATCACAGCGCGGGCACCGATTTCGTTCCCGAAAAAAACGGGAACGATTCGAGAATGGGGAAAAAATTGCCCCGAGGAAATTGATTCCATCTCGGCCGATGGATTCATCTCGGGGAAGATTTCGGGAGGAAGAATTTCGAAACGGTTAGAAGAAGCGTCTCGTTTCGTCACGCTCGCGTTTCTTTCTTCCACGGAGGGATACGGTTTCTCGGGTGCCAGAAAAATTGGGTCGAAGGAAAATTGGGACGTGAATCCCAAAATGAATTTAACCGTTTCTTTTTTTCTTTTCTTTTTCCCCACCACGAATCAGACTCGACGATGCCAATTATCGAGCCGATTTCGAATCGAAGCGCGAGAATTCGGGTCACGACGAAACTGGTCGAAGTAATGGGACACCGATTGCACCGATGTCACGAGTCCGTGGAATCGCTTATGCGAGCACGAGCGGAATGCCACGAGGGGGAAAACTGTCGAGAGAGTTTACTAACAATGGAAAAGTTGTAACTTTGCGCGGGGGTGCTCGACAATTCGTCCAATTAGAAAATTTTTCTCCCTCCCCCGCCCTAGTTTCCTGCCTCCCGGGGCGCGTTTTGAAACTGTTTTCGAGGATGTTCGCGAGCGCGCGCGCGCAAAAAAGGAAAAAAGGAACAAAGCGAATTTCGAGCTCGGTATATTTCATCGTGCGGTTTCAAATACCGGAAAAACGGTATGGAAGTTGGCAAATAGTATATATATATATATATATACAAGCAACGAGTATCTTGAACTTGAAACAGGAAGGGGGGGGGGCGATACGAAAAAGCCCCCCACGAACATTCGCGCGCAATCTCGAACCGCTAAATTCCCTTCCCCCCTCTCCCGTTGCGAAAAATGCTTCGTCTTTTTCGTAATTACTTTTCCAACGATTGGCGAGAAACGAAAGAAATTGGGAGAGATTGGAGAGCCGTCCCCGACGATTTGAAATATAACTCACCGCGAACAATTCTATCGAGAGAAAGAAAAAGAAAGAGAAAAAGAGAGAGAGAGAAAATAGTTTCTCACCTAAGGTATACTGCGATGACGAGCGGCGCCCTTTCCTGCCTCGGGTCGGTGGTCTTGGACGGATGAAGGAACGCCGGGACGTGCAAGCGGGACCTCGGATAGAGGGGGCCGTGCGGTACCAGAAGTGTGAGCGAATCGTCGGCCTTGAGCTCCTTGTAATCGGCCCGGTTCGGAGCGAGGGGCACCTGACCGAGCGGCGTGACGGGTTGAATCTGGACCCTCGGCCTGCAGAAGGCTGCCCCGTTGTCGGCCGAGCCTGCCTCCTCCGTCCGTGGCTCGAGCACGGAGTAGGCGACCTGCACGAGCCTGGGCAGGCTCTTGGCGACCTTGACCCGGCCGGAAGCGTCCGGTGGTGGTAACGGTGCCCACCAATCGGCAGGTATCGTGATCTGCGCCAAGCAAACTCCGTTCTCCCCGTCCGGGCTGCAGGCTGCCGTTAGAGCGGAAGTGGACGACGAACTCGAGAAAGAGGAAGCGGAGGAGGAGGAGGAGGAGGAGGAGGAGGATGGGGAAGACGAAGAGGAGTAAGCTCTTCCGCTGTTTCTATTGACGGTGGTCCTAGACGGGGTGGCCAGGCTCGCGTGAAGAACCACGCACACTCTCTGATGGCGGGCAAGAAGCAACTGGCGCCTTCCGCCTGCCTCGCTTCCGGCGTGGAACAGTACTCTAAGCACGGGCGAGTCGCGGGGCACGCTGTTCCCGACCAGATGGGCGGACATGTCCAGGTGGCGGGCGCCCAACTCCTGCGCGTCCAGAATCGTCGCAGCCGTCAGATTCCGCCTCGTTTCCGGGCCGGGCAGCGCGTCCAATGGATCCGGCACGATGTAACGGGCGGGCACGGTTTGCTTCGTGCTAAATGGGCCGTAAGTCGCCCGCACGGACACCGGCTCGCTCGTCTGAAACACGGTGAATTTGTCTATCGAGAGGACGGAGCCAGGCGCAGGCGATGGGACCCCGTTCGATAACGTCCCCGTAGATGGAGATATCGCCGAGATGGAATCCCCTCTCACGGGATAGTATTGCCTCGGTATGTGCTTCAGGAAAAATCCGCCATCTTTGTTCTCGAAGTGAACCTCCACCGAGGCCGCCACGTCTGAAAATTCCAATCGATTGTTCGAATTAGCGGTTAGTTGCAAAAGTAGGTCCTGGAGATGGAAAGGTAGAGAGGGCGGGATGATTTTAAAAAAAGGATCTATCTATCTCTCGAGGAGAAAAGATAACGGAAGGCTTCCACCGAGACTCCAAGCTCGAACGAATTTCGTTACAGGATAGTAGGATGCGGCCATTTTTCTTGTATAATAATTTTTTTAATAAATCTACCCCTACGTAGGGTACGACGTTTCGTAGCAAAATGAAGCAATTTTCAAAATTTACGCGTTAAATTAGCGTAGAACACGGCGAAGCACTTCGGATCCATTATTCGAGTCCGAAAGAAACTCGGGACGATGTTCGACCCGACCCCGGAGGCCTGCTCTGCTTATTGCACAGGGGAATCTCGAGGCTGAACCGGGAATTGCCGATAAAGATTCTCCAGATAAAAGTTCGAGTGGAAAGTCGTGTAGAAATATCAACGGATATTCCCGGATATATATACAACGGGAGGTATATTTCGTTATCGGCATCGGCCCTCCGTTTCGATCAAGTCGAAAGTCGAGTGGACAGACTTCTTCGATAAAGCGTAGTCGGGAAATTTGGCTCGGTCGGTTTGGGAAACAAAGTTCGTGTACTTGTGCGCTTTCGAAAGTGCACACGGGTGAGGTGAGGGGAGGGAGAAGTTGTAAATCGGGGAGGCGAGGCGTGGCGCGGCTGCGCTCGATCCGGACATAAATTTCCGGGGAAATCCTCCGCTAAGCGCCAGCTGCCCGCGCCACCCTCCAGAAACGGAGGAGGAAAACGCGCGGAAAGGTGAGGCCAAATTTCGACTCCTCTCGTTTATCTCTCCTCCTTTCTATTCTTGCATAGATGCGATCCTTTCTTTCCCTCCGTTGCAGAGAAAGAAAAGCGACGATATCTGCGCATATTTCTAAGTTCTAATATATATATTCTACAGGTATTTGGGCGGTGTCTCGATTCCTTTGAGCAAACTAGTTATTTTCCGTTATTTTATTAAATCAAGTTTCAACATCGATTTCGAATTCGATCGGATAAATAATTCGATCGAAGGGATCTTCAATATTTTATCAATACTTGCGAAGATCGAACCATTGGTACACTTTCGGTTTGCTTTTGTCCACCGTGTAGTTAAGACAACGACCCCCGACACTACGAAGAAGATCATTGAAAAAGTTGAGATCAAGTTTTCCCTTTCGTCCATTCTCTCCGTCACTTTTATTCATTTCGCACGCGAAATCGAATATCACGCGCGCAAATCACGCTTACTTACCTCTTACCGCATCCGGTGACAGGATGCTCCAATTTGTAACATTTCGTGTCTATCAGATTGAAGTACATCTGTCCTACGAAATACGAGCTAATCGTGTCCGCCGAATTTTTAAGACAATCGTAGAACTTGTCGTCACAGTCGCACGACAACCTGTTGAAAAATATTTCCCATTCTTTCGTTATCATTCTTTCCCATCCGAGTAGCCGTAATAATAATAACAAGCCGTAATGATAATAACAACAATAACAAAAAATAATAACGAATGCTTCTCTCTTCTCTTCCCTTCGAAAAGAAAAAAATTCCACGACCCTTTTATTTCAACGTGGTCGCCGAATACATATCCACGAGTGATTCACGCGAGGTGTAGCAGCCGGCCAGTCACGCCTACAATTCGCGCGCGGCCTAATCGCTCGCAATTTCTCACCGTTCTCGCCGGAGAAACGTTCGATCGGGAAAAATTCCGCGTGGGCGTTCACGCGAGGCCGGCATTAAGCGGCGATCGTTCGCGCGCCGCCCGTCAATCCCCGTCCGTCAGCCGAGGAATGGAACCCTCGCGTGGGTCCAACGCGATAAGAAAGAAGGAAGGAAGGAAGGGAAGAGAGAGAGCAACGGAGGTTCAACGGAGCGGCCGGTTGAGAACCGGCAATCGCAATCGGCACGCTCGGGGGAAAGCGTCGCTCACCTCGCCAAGGGGTGAGGAAGAGGTGGTTCGAAAGCGGCGCGAAAAGGGGGAGAGCGAACGAATGTAGCGAGGGAATGTATCGAGAGGGAACCTGGTGTGGGAGGCGGTGTTGGTCAGGCCGTGCTTCGATTCGCCAGCTGACATCACGTCCGGGCACATGTCGTGGCTTCGACAGCATGCATCCGTGTGCTTGAACCGACCCAGCTCGTTCGGACTGGACGACACGTTACCGTGTCCGCACCATAACGTTCCTGACGCAACAAATAAACACGAGAAGAATGTGAAGAGCGTGAAGAGACGATCGACCCGATCCCTCCTCTATATATTATACTCTCTCTTACCTGGGTATATTATCCGTTCTTCCAACTCGTTATCCCCGATCCTATCCCTGATCTGCCATCCGTGAGCAGGGAGGAAGAGAGCGACAAGGAACAACGATCCAAGAACGACTTGCATCGTGGAACAGGAAGAAGAGGAGGAGGAGGAGGAGGAGAAGGAGAAGATGGAAAGGAGGAAAAGAGAATGGTCGAGGAGCGAGGCGAAAAGCGGTTCCTTCCGGTGATATTCAATTGTACGAGAGCACAACCGTGTGCGGCCGTTCCTCCACCTTATATGAGAAAGCCCTCCCCCTTTTTTTTTTTTTACGACCCAGTTTCACGGCGCCTAATCGTGAAAATTACGCGCGATAACCGCAACGAAATTTGAAACACGGGAAAAAACGAGTCCGGAAAGGGGAGGAGGGAGAGGCTAATGGCTAGAATTCGGGCTCGAATCTGTCCAAGCGTCGCCGACAGGAATCTAAAATAGCCCTGTAAATCTAGAATGTGCATAAATTTAACGGCTTAATTTATGCGCGCCGAGTTGCCTAAAATGTAAACAACCTGCGTGCGTTTCGTGATCGCGGATTATCTTTCCGCGGCGCGTGAATGAAACGTATGCACGATGGAAACGCGCCATTTTATCGATCGCCGCGCTCACGATCACGTATTTAACGATTCGATCATGCGTCACGAGTCACGTTGGCCGATCACGAAAACCAGAAGAGGAGCGAGGAGGAAAGGAAGCGCGTGCATCCAGCGCGTCCAACGTGCAGGGGAAACCCCGCAGCAACACGTGTCTCTTTCCGCGTCTCCCTTCCCAAGCAAGAAGAAAATTCGACGAAGACACGATAACAGATGGATGGATACGATACGTGTATACTTTTTTTTCTTTCTTTCATCGAACGAACAGTTACATACATTATGCATACGGTAGACATCGTGACAATCGAGGGCTATCGATTGCAACAAGTCGGAAGGTTGTCGTAAAGGTGATCGTCGAGATCCGGACAAAGGAAGTGCCTGATATTCCGCGGCCCGACCAGCCCTTCTTGGCGACGAGCGCAATCCGCCAGCCACAGGCCAACCGCCGTAATACGATTTTCCGAGACGGGTGGGCCGATCCCCTTCACGAGAAAATACGTATCCAGAGTGCCATCCTTCACCTCCTGTTTCATTCTATCCAGAAACTCGATGAAAGGGTCGATGGGCGGGGGAGTAGGTATGCGTTCGATAACCGGCTCCATACATTCGCAAATACCGCGGAGGATATCCTCGAGACCGATCGGTTCGTAATCGTAGATTTCGTCGTACGGCACCATCTCCTCGATCTCCTCTTCCCCGAAATAGAATTCATCGTCTTTCTCGTAAGGGAAGTCCACGTTCATGAAATCATCCGCGTTGGCATGGAAATCGGAAATGGTGAATTTTCCATCGTATTGCACGATCGGGTTACCCACGCTCTAAACGATAAATGTTTAATACACGATATATATCGATGATATATTCGTGAATCTTTGGGGAGGATTGATTTCTTTGATTGAAAAAAAAAAAAGGCTGTTCGATGTGGAAAAATTTGCATTTTTAATCGATTCTCACGTTTGTTTCCAAGAGGTGTCAACACCCTCACTCGCGAAGATAAAAAGAAAATTTTCGAACCTCCGAACGCGTCTCTGGGGAACGATTTTAAGACCTTTTCCTCGCTCGGTTGGCGAGGAAAAATCGAAATATTTAACCGACGACGACGAGCAAACGGGTAAACTCGTTTCCCGAAATCAAAGGGAAATTAAAGGGAAATCAGGTATATCCATCCAATCGGTAAGCGGCGTTCAGCATTCGTTACCGATGGCACGATTAATCCCCGCCGAGAACGCTTTTATCCAGAGGCTTTTATCCACGGCTTGCATTTTTTTTCTCTTTTCTTTTCCTTTCTTTTCTTTTTTTTTTTTTTTTTACACCACATCCGTTCCCGCGATATCTCTACGCGATATCCGCATCGTCGTTTTTACCTTTGGATTCTCGCTCCGATCCGTCGATTTAGGCTCGGTGCCGTCCGGAACAGGCGTCACCTGATGCACTTCATCGTCTATTGGAGGGCATTCCGTCCAAATTCGCATGATATCCGACGATTCGGTCTCGCTAGGCCCGTACTCGTATACGATCTCCTCCTTCATCTCGTCCTAAGCCCGAAAGTTCGATCGAAAAAGAAAAAAGAGAGAGATAGAAACACGTGGTTCGTTCCGTTCGAGGAAGAGAGGAAAAACACCTGGTCAAAGGCGAGCCGGTATCGAATACGATCGATTTTCAACTGTTGAGTTGATTCGAGAGGGAGGGAGGGAAGCGGAAGGAAGGGAGGAGGAAGCTGGAGGGTGGTTAAAATATGCTACAATCGGAACGACGTACTGTAAATTTGCGCTACGCGTTGGCGATTCGCCGTCCACGCGGAGGGATGGAAAGGGGATGGAAAGGGGGGCGAACACCCGGTTCGACGCATCAAGTAATTATTTCCCCCGGCCCCGTTTCTATTGCGCGCGATTTCCATTTGCATCGGTGCGTTATTAACGAAATTATATTTGGTCATCGATGGGGGGGAGGAGGGAGAGGGAGAGCACTCGACGAAGCTAGCCCCATCGGTCAGGTTTGCTCACGCTCTCCCTTTTCCGTCCCATTAATCGCGTACGATCCCGAAACGCTCGAAAAATCATCGATCGTCGGTCGACGGTAATCTCGGACAAATCGCCGTTGGATGTACTACTGGATATTTTTTTTTTTCCTCTCTTTTTTTTCTTTTTTTATATCGAAACGCGTTATTCGAACGATTTTTTTTTTTTTTTTTTTTTTCGTTACCGATTCGACGAGGAAAAAAAAGAAAAGAAAGAAAGCTCGACGATTTTTAACCTCGACGGATGGTTCCAAGCTCGGTATCTTGAAATCGGAGCAAACGCAGGGAAGAAAAGGCTCGAGTTTCTCCTCTATGTAGGAATATCTACCGCTGCAATCGAGCTCCGCAAGATATTGATACAAATCTATGAAGATCGGCAGAGGTATCATCGCTGATCCACCTTCTGGCTCCTCCGTCAGCAATTCGCACACGTATATCATCGTTTCGAATAGATTCTGCAAGGGAGGAAATCAGAAAGGGTGTACTACTACTACTACTACTACTACTGCTACTGCTACTGCTACTACTATTACTATTAATACTACTACCTATACCATTGTTATCGCCGCTACTATATTGCTACCACCACCATGAATCGCCGAGAAATTGTGGCCCGGCAACAATGGCGGGTGATTAATTTAATTCAACCGGTAACGATGATTCATCGATTCGAATTAAAGTCCATGAATTAAATACATCCTGAGAAGGAACGTTCCATCCGGAAACGTGATCTTCGGCCGGATCGATACGATGTCCCGACCGATATCACGTCCCGTTTCAGTTTTATTCCAGAGGAAAAAATTTAATTACCGGTTAGAATGTCTTTCTCTTCCCTATAAAAGGCAAGAACCGTTGTAAATTCCGCGAATCGAGAAACAAAGAGCAAGCGCCTCACCATCCGTTCCCGCTTTCAACGATCGAATTTTTTTCCCGCTGGGAGGATATATATATATATAATCTATTAAGCCGTAATAATAGAACGATCTTCTCGACGCAAGAAGAAACTGTCCCGACTGATCGTGTAAGAAAAAAAAAAAAAAGAAAAATGTCTCTCTATTCGCTGTGGCAGCTTGCAGCGATACACCCGCGCGATAAAAACGCTTCCCCTTCATCAATCATAGGATCCAGCCGAGGGGGAATATCAGATCGATTAACGACCGTTTCTAAAAGTATCCCACTTAAGACGCGATGATAAAGATGGCAAGCGAAAGGGATGAAAGGACTTGGGCGGAGAGGGGATGCCCTATTTCGAGTATTTCGAGTGGTAAAGATAAGGAGAGTTTTTCGTTTTCTTTTTTTTTTTTTTTTTCTTCTTCTTCTTCTTTTTCCTTTTCTTACCTTGCCAAGGAATCCGCAAGCGATGGAGAGAAATTTGTAAAAGTTGCACTCTTTCCTGTCCAATAATTTGCCCACCAGCATGAGCTGGAAAAGGGTCTTGTCGGGCAGAGCGAGGCCCCGCCACTTGTTCAGTAAGGCCTTCAAGCAAACATTCTCCGCGAAATTGAACACGTTCAAAAGGGTCTTCAGGAAGCCAGGCGTGATACCTGTTGGGTGGGTGAAGGGGGGATACTCCAATCTTTCCTAAGAAAATACGGGGAGATGTTGACGACGAGTCACCCTTCGATCGAGCCTTCGTTTCGGGTCACGGACGATGCTCGTAACTCGGTAAAAGTTAACACCCCTTCCTTACGGGGGTGTATTACGTGGCAAGTGTCGCGTCGACAGATCGATTCTTTTCTTTTCTTTTTTTTTTTTTTTTTTTTACGCGAGCGGAGGAAAGGGTTCGTCGAAAGATTTATATCAAAAATAAACGAGAGTGATAATCGAAGGTGAGAATTTTTTCTTTTCGATCTTCTCTTTCCATCCGGCTTGTTTCAACAACCGTTCGCTTCGTTTCAAAGATTTGTTACGAAACGGAGAGAAAAGAAAAAGAAAAATAACGAGACGGGAATCCTCGCGTATATATAGAAAGTTTCGATAAGTAAAAATATCGCAGGCAATGTCTCGGCCGGTGTTCAATCCTTCGAGTATCGTATCGGGTCACGGACGTTGGTTCTACGGCCATCGCCACCCTCGCGAGCAAAGAAAAAAAAAAAGAAAGAAAGAAAAAAAATTCTAAGAGAGGAAACTAGGAAAATAGGAGAATCCGATAGTTCAAGGCTCCCGTAACTGGATTCTATTCCCGCGTCCGGTCACGGACGTTCTCTACGATGTATTAAAATTAAAAAGAGAAACGTCGGTCGAAGAGAGAGAGAGAGAGAGAGAGAGAGAGATGGGCGTTCAACGGGAGAAATAATTTATACCGATCGATTTGTTCATTTCGATTAACCCGGTTAATCGATTTCCCGAATGGCTCCACCCGTTAATCGAATTGTTCGAGCGATATAATAAAAATCTGGAGAATTTAGATTGGGAAATAAATTGACAAAAAACTCCAACGGATCCCCCCCTTTTTTTCGATTAGCGCGGATGTAGATGCAACGTAACGCTCGACGTAACGTAATAATTAAATTCAATTGATTTACTCTCGTCTATCCGCTTAATTACGCGCTACAGGAATAGGGATAAGATGCGACGCGTGTAATGGTACAATGGGAGCAATAAAAAAAAAAAAATTACGTTTAACGACGCTGCTCGAGCGTACGAGAGCGTCGGGAAGAACGAACGTCCGTTGAAACTTTAATCATCCCTTTTGTAAGATAATAGGGATGTGGAAACGTTACGTCAGCATTGCACGCTTGACTCCAACGAAACAGACCAGCGAGATTAAACATGCCATGCGAATTTTCCGCCCATTTCTTTCTCTCCCCCCCTCCTTTCTCGAAGAAATTGTTTTCGAAACGAACGAACACGAACGGAGGAAGTCTCGAGACGAACGAGAAGAGGAAATGCTGCAAAAGTGAAAAGAATCGTGCAAAAAGGAAAAAAAAAAAAAAAAAAAGGTTAGATTATTTACTTTGACAGGAGGGATTTCGGAATTGGCGAGGGCACGAAAATAAGCGCAAGTCCATTGCAAAAGATCATAGGGTTGAGTTCGAATCGCTGCTTTGGCATACTGTTTCAAAATGTATGGGAACGATGATGGAATCTTGATCTGTTCTGCGCAGTAAATATCTTCTTTCTCTGTCGTCATTTTTGATAGGGGGGAGAGAATGGACGATTAGAAACAACGTTTCTCGAACGATTCGATATCGATTCGTTCTCGTTCGCTATCGATACATGGAGGGAAATTTCAATTTTCTTTTTTCTTTCTCTTTTTTTTTTTTTTTTCTCCCTCGAATTTCCCGAGACCCCCGATTCTTTGATGTTCTCCATGAAAGAACGGTTTTTGTATTTTTTTCCCTTTCCCCCCTCGTACTCGATCGAATCCTTTTCGACATCAAGCAAGCTTTGAAGCACTTTTGAGCGTGCCACCTCTTGTCGATAAAAATGTATTTGGATTACGTAGAGAAATTTTCTTTTCTGTTAGAAGAACGACAAGTTGAACCATGTGTTTCGCAAATTGTATTTAACGCGTCTCCTTCGTTCTACCCGTTTCGATCGTTTCTTCCACGTGTTCGATACACGTAGAAATCACGGTGAAACGGTATTTATTATTTACCCATATCGCTAGAAAAATATCGCGAACGGAAGGAAAGCCATCGAAAGGGCAAATATTGAGAGGCGAATTGATCCCGATGAAAAATGGATATTTACTTTTTATCCACTTAAATTTTCCACGGGCCCCTATAATATAGTATCGAACCGATACTTCGAATTTCCAATCTCGAACAAAAATCCGCTCGACCCGTAAAGGCTAGAGATACAAAGAGGGAGACAGGCTGATAATACTAGAGGAAAAAACGCGAACAATCTTTCGCAGCCTTTGATGCTCCTATTATCCCTTATCCCGTTGA